ATACTAGAGTTGGAAGAGACCGATAAGGCCATCTGGTCCAACCCCCGGATCATGCGATACTAGAGTTGGAAGAGACCGATAAGGCCATCTGGTCCAACAACCGGATTATTGGATCGTGGAATACTAGAGTTGGAAGAGAGCGATAAGGCCATCTGGTCCAACCCCCGGATCATGGAATGCTAGAGTTGGAAGAGACCGATAAGGCCATCTGGTCCAACCCCCAGATTATTGGATTGTGGAATACTAGAGTTGGAAGAGACCGAGAAGGCCATCTGGTCCAACCCCCGGATCATTGGATCATGGGATACTAGAGTTGGAAGAGACCGATAAGGCCATCTGGTCCAACAACCGGATCATTGGATTGTGGAATACTAGAGTTGGAAGAGACCGAGAAGGCCATCTGGTCCAACAACCGGATTATTGGATTGTGGAATACTAGAGTTGGAAGAGACCGAGAAGGCCATCTGGTCCAACCCCCGGATCATAGGATCATGGGATACTAGAGTTGGAAGAGACCGATAAGGCCATCTGGTCCAACAACCGGATCATTGGATTGTGGAATACTAGAGTTGGAAGAGACCGATAAGGCCATCTGGTCCAACAACCGGAATATTGGATTGTGGAATACTAGAGTTGGAAGAGACCGATAAGGCCATCTGGTCCAACCCCCGGATCATGCGATACTAGAGTTGGAAGAGACCGATAAGGCCATCTGGTCCAACAACCGGAATATTGGATTGTGGAATACTAGAGTTGGAAGAGACCGATAAGGCCATCTGGTCCAACCCCCAGATTATTGGATTGTGGAATACTAGAGTTGGAAGAGACCGATAAGGCCATCTGGTCCAACAACCGGATTATTGGATCGTGGAATACTAGAGTTGGAAGAGAGCGATAAGGCCATCTGGTCCAACCCCCGGATCATGGAATGCTAGAGTTGGAAGAGACCGATAAGGCCATCTGGTCCAACCCCCAGATTATTGGATTGTGGAATACTAGAGTTGGAAGAGACCGAGAAGGCCATCTGGTCCAACCCCCCGGATCATGGAATGATAGAGTTGGAAGAGACCGAGAAGAGCATCTGGTCCAACCCCCGGCATCATGTTGTTCTTGCTTGTCGTGAGGTCGCGTCCGACCCATCCAGCCCCCTCATCCCCTGCCACCCCCCTCTCCTGTTGCCCCCGATCATTCCCAGCATCTCCAGGGAGTCCTTTCTTCTCGTTTGGTGGCCAAAGTACCTGAGCTTCAGCTTCAGGATCTGGCCTTCTAAAGAGCAGTCAGGGTTGATCTCCCGTGGGACCTCTGAGAAGCCCAAGGCACTCGCAGGAGTCGTCTCCTGCACAATTCCAAGGTCTCGGTTGTTCCTTCTCCTCAGGTGGCCAAAGGATCTGAGCTTCAGCGTCAGGATCTGGCCTCCTAAGGAGCACTCAGGGTTGATCTCCTCTAGGACTGACTGGTTTGACCGCCTTGTGGTACAACGGACTCCATCAGGTCAACCCCCTGCACCATGGGATCAAGGAATACTAGAGCAGGAAGGGACCCAGGAGGCCATGAGGGCCATCACATGATGATGGGATAGGAGAGGTGGAGGGGACCACGGAGATCATCAACCGTCTGGATAATAGGAACCTGAAATGGTAGAGCTGGAAGTGGCCATGAAGTCAGTCAGGGTGAACCGCCTGGATCATGGGATCATGCAATAGAGGGGTTGGAAGGGACATGGAGCCCATCAGGCCGAACCCCTTGGATCATGGGATTGTGGAACAGTGGAGTAGGAAGGGGCCATGAAGGCCATCAGGCCGAACCCCCCGGATCATGTTCCTGCTTGTGAGGCCATGTCCGACACATCGCAACCCCATGGGCCACGGTCCGCCATGTTCTCCTGTCCCTCCCCATCGCCTGGGGTCCAAAGCTCGCCCCCACTGTCCTGTCCCAGTGACCCCATCCAGCCCCCTCATCCCCGGCCGTCCCCTTCTCCTGCTGCCCCCGATACCCCCCGCATCTCCAGCGAGTCCTTCCTTCTCGTCTGGTGGCCGGAGGACCTGAGCTTCAGCGTCAGGATCTGGCCTTGTGAAGAGCAGTCAGGGCTGATCCCCCTTGGGACCTCCGTGAAGCCCAAGGCGCTCGCAGGAGTCGTCTCCTGCACCACGATTCCAAGGTCTCGGTTGCTCCTTCTCCTCCGGTGGCCAAAGGATCTGAGCTTCAGCATCAGGATCTGGCCTTCAAAGGAGCCGTCAGGGTTGATCCCCCGCGGGACAGACTGGGTTGATCTCCTCAGGGTACAAGGGGTCTTCTCCAGCGCCACGATTGAACGGGCTCGATTCCTGGTTCATAGGACCATGGAATGGGAGAGCTGGACGGGGCCAAGGAGCCATGATGGCCATCATAGGACCATGGAATGCTAGAGTTGGAAGGGGCCACGGAGGCCATCAGGTCCAACCCCCCCGATCACTGGATCCACCTCATCCTTGGCTGTCCCCTTCTCCCCTGCCCTCCATCATCCCCAGCATCTCAAGCATGGCCTTCCTTCTCATCCGGTGGCCAAAGGCTTCGAGCTTCACAACCCTCTTCCGGCCTTCGAAGGAGCTGTCAGGGTTGATCTCCTGGACTGACTGGCTTGATCCCCCCGTGGTCCAAGGGACTCACAGGGATCTTCTCCAGCCCCACAAGCCAGGGCACCCCGATTCTCTGGCACTCTGTCCTCCTCCTGGTCCAGCTTCACAGCCCTGAGCATGTGCCCTTCCATTCCCTGCTTTCTGAGGAGCACTTCCAGCTTCTCCGATCTGGGGAGGACCACCTGCCCCGGAGTCCAACGCAGCTCAGCTGGGTGTGGCGCATGGGCCATGTCTTCTTCTCCGTGGGGAGGCTCGCTGGGGGTCTCAGCCCCATGGCTGCCCTTCCGCTCCACCATGCCCTTCACTCCAGAACCTTCTCCAGATGTTTGGGCCATCAACGGCTTCCCCGTCTCGGAGTGGGGCCCCATCCGAGCCCCCCAGGGGTTCGTTAACGGCTCCGTCAAGTGGGCACGGCGAGCGACGTCAGGCTCCGGCGGCTGCGACACATGGGGGGGGTGATCCGCCGCACTTCTGACGTGGGTTTTGGAGGCCTGCCAAGCCAGGTCGTGCGTCCTGGGCCGGATTTTGGGGGGAACCGAGAGCGATTAAGGAATAACGAAGGGACGTCGTTTTCGGGATTAATGGGAGCTTTTAATTCGCCGGGGCCCGTCCCAGAATGCGGAAAGCCGCCGGCGACACATCACAAACGGGCTGTGGTTGCCACAGTGTCCCACCGGTCGCCGGCGTGCGGAAATCGCACAAAAATGATCGGCAGATGCACAAATCCCACTGATTTTGACCGACGGTTTTACACAAACATCGCACAAGGTTACACAACACGACGGCCCTGGGGAGAAGCGCACACAATCAGCATCCGCAACGCGGATGATGCCGGGGGTGACGACGACACAAAACGGCCGCGTGTGGGGAAGGGGTACAGGAGGCTGGGGATGATGGATTTCCAATCTTTTTGTAGACACCCACCCCATAAAGTGCTGATTTCCCTCCCCCACCCACCCGCAAATACAGACAAGCGTCGCACAGTGGAGTGCCGGGACACGGCACGACACAACACAAGACAACACAAAAGCGGCAAGTCCAATGCAGGGTGCTGTGCTCCGGAGAGCACAGGGGTGCGGGAGGGCTGAGGTCAGAGTTTGGGGGGTCCTGGCCCCCGTTTGGGGCTGCCCCCCGCAAAGCCTTCGCACCGGGTTGCGCCCCCAGAAGGGTTGGGACACGGCAGGTCCGTCCCGTCCGGCACATCTGGGGGCATCTGGGGTCAGACTAGATGGCCCAGGAGACCCCTTCTGCCTCAGTCTGTTTCTATGTATCTCTGAGCAGAGCTGGGGTCAGACTAGATGTCCCAGGAGACCCCATTCTGGCTTGCTCTGAGAGGAGCTGGCTGGAGCCGGGGTCAGACTAGATAGTCCAGAGGCCCCTTCCGCCGCGCTCTTTTCCCATGTTCCCCTGAGGAGAGCCGGGGTCAGACTAGATGGCCCGGAGACCCCTTCTGCCTCATTCTGTTCCCATGTTCCTCTGAGCAGAGCCGGGGTCAGACTAGATGGCCTGGAGACCCCTTCTGCCTCGCTCTGTTCCCTTGTTCCCCTGAGCAGAGCCGGGGTCAGACTAGATGGCCCAGAGGTCCCTTCTGCCTCGCTCTGTTTCTATGTTCCTCTGAGCAGAGCCGGGGTCAGACTATATGACCCCGGAACCCCCTTCTGCCTCGCTCTGTTCCCATGTTTCTAAAGTTTGGTGTTCCTGTAAGGCTGTTTTGGCACCTGGCATGGCTGGTGGGGGGAGGCGCTCCCGGCCCAGCAGGCAGGGCTCTGTGGCCCATGCTGCTGGGCCGGCCACCCCCGGGTGGGTGGTGGGGGGAGCGGGGTCTTTGGCGGGAGAGAAGCCCCCCGTTGCCCCGGGGGGGGCTGGAGGAGGAAACTGCCTTGTCCGGAGAGGCTCTGGCACATGGGCACAGGCATGGAGGACGAGGCCCTGCAGTCGTCCTGGGCCGTGGCGCATGGACTTTGTGGAGGCAGCCCCGTCGGAGGAGCCGCTGCCGCTCAGGGACCCCCAGGGAGACACCCAGTGGCGAGGACTGCTCCCCCCATGGTGGCCGGACGAGCCACTTGGCACAGGCCGCGGGTCCTCCGTCCTTCTGCGGCGCCGCTCAGAGGAAGATCACGGCCTCGTTGGCGGCGTCCCCCAGGGCGGGCTCAGGAGCATGGGCCTGGGTGGCCCAGGGCCCAGGGGGGCTGCTGGGCGGGGCCGCCGCGTCGGGGTGGCCGCTCTCGGTGGCGGCGGCGGGAGCTTCTGTGGGGACGGGAGAGAGAAGGAGAGTCAGCTGCGGGGCGGGCCGGGCCGGCTGCCTGGCGTGAGCCTTGCTGCCCGACCTACCTGGTGGCGTGGCTGCCTCCGGACCGGGTGGCCCGGTGGGAGCCCGGCCACGGGGCTGGGGGTCCTCCTTGCTGGCCCGCCGGGTCGGGGGGGACTGCTTTGGCTCAGCCGCGGCTGTGGAGAGGAACGCTCCAGTGAGGACTCGGCCGGGAGTAGGGAGCCGCCCCCGGCCCCCCGGGGTGGGTCCCCCAGGGGCCGCCCCTTGTGGGTCCCAGGGGAGGGGCTTCAAGGACCCCCGCCTGGGGGCCGGGTGGCCCGGGACTCACCCCTGCCACTGCGGCCACCCTTCTCCCGGGTGGAGGCGGCCAGCTTGGTGGGGATCTGCTGCTGGACGGCCACCCCGGCCTGCAGCTGGTTGGTGGCGCTCAGCAGCTGGATGGGCACCTCGCCCTTGGGGGCCGCCACCGCCCTGGCCCCGTCCGGGCCGCAGATGCTGGCCCGTGCGCAGAGGGTGCCGGCTGGTACGGCCCTCTCCGGACTGTCCCTGTCGAAGCCGGCCAAAGGGCCCGGGCTGGGTGCCTGGGGAGAGAGGAAGGCGCTGGGGACAGGGGCCACCTTCAGGCCCGTGAGGCCCCGCAGAAGGGGCCCCGGGGCAGACGCAAGGCATGCTGGGAGTTCTGGGGGTTACCTTCCGGCTGGTGAGGCCCCGCTCTGCATGCAGGGGGCACCTGCTGGGATCTCCGGGGCCCAAACTGCAGCTGCTAAGACCCCTCTGGCCATGCAGGAGGGACCCTTGAGCTCTTGCAAAGCATGCTGGGAATCCGGGGGCCACCCCCACCCAACGAGCCCCCGCTCTGCATGCAGGAGACGCCTGCCAGGAACTCCGGGGCCCCTGTTCCAGCCACTCACCTGCCCCACGGCGGGGCTGGGCCCCCGGACCCCCCGGGTGCGGCCCAGCTCCTCCAGCCGCCCGCGCTCCCTCTCCACAGCCCGCTGGGCCTCGCGCAGCCGCTCCAGGTCCCGCTGGTATGCCTCGCGGCGCTGCTCCAGCTCCTCGCGCTCCCGCACTACGCGCTCCATCATCCCCCGCGCCGCCGCCTCCTCCCGCCGCCGCTGCGCCTCGGCCTCCTCCAGGGCCCGCAGCTGGCGCTCCTGCTGCTGCCGGAGCAGCAGCTCGCGGTCTGCCAGGGCGCAGCGCTGCAGCTGCAGGCGGCTGTCCTCCTGGGAGAGCGCGGCCTGGGGGGGCGGGAGGGCGGGCGGCAGGTTGGGCTCCGGCCGGGACGGGGGCGTGGGGCTGCCCCACACGTGCCCCACAAGCCGACCCCTGCTGGAGGCGGGCCCAGCCGTGTCCCCCATCCCGGGGGGCAGAGCGCCCCCAGCATGCTGGGCTCCAGCCGGGAACGGGCGTGTGGGGCTGCCCCCCACCTGCCCCACAAGCCCCCCTCCTCTGCTGGAAGGGGCCCCTGGAGCGGAAGGGGGGGCTGGCCCGGTTGAGGTGTGGGGCTCCGGGCAGGACCATCCTTGCCCCCCAGCCCCCCACCCCCACCCCCAGGCACGTTCGGGGCCGGCTGCCCAGGGGCGTGTGGGGCTGACTCCCCACCTCCCCCCACACTGGAAGCGGACGGGGCGCCTCACCTGCAGGCTCAGCAGCAACTCCAGGATTATCTGGACCCTCGGGACAAGCTGTGGGGAGACCCGGGTCAGGCGCCACATGCCCCACTGCGCCCGGCCCCCCCCCCCGGCCCGAGGACCCTGCCCCACGCCCCGTGCAGCTGAGGGGGGGCAGGGAGTGGAAGGGGGGCGCTTACCTCGGGCTCCACGTCCAGGGAGGCCTGGGGGCTGCTGGTCTGCTCCGGGCTGGGGCCATCGCTCTGCAGGGAAGTAGGGAGGGGGTGAGACCCCCTGTTCCTGCCCCAGCCGGTCAAAAGGGGTTGCCCCCCCTTCCTCACAAGAGCCCCGCCCGGGGGGCCGGGTCAGCAGCCAGGAGCTGGGGGTCTGGAGCCAAGGGCCAGGGGCTGGGTGCTAGGAGCCAGGGGTCAGGAGCCGGGGAACAGGAGCCAGTGGCCGGGGTCAGAAGCCGGGGGTCAGGAGCCGGGGCCAGGAGCCAAGGGGCCAGAAGCCAGGCACCAGGGGCTGGAGGTCAGGACTGGGGGCCAGGACCAGGGGCCCCTTTCCCTCTGCCCTCCCAGCAGCCCTGGAAAAAGCCCGGCTCCGGCAAGCTTCCCGGCCCAGGGGCGTAGGGAGTGGGTGCATCCCCAAACCGGCCCCCCGTTCCCATCCCCACAACCTGCAGAGGCCAGGGGGAGCCCCGGAGAACGGAGGCAGGTCCTGCACCAGTGCAGAGCCGCAAGCGTCTTTCTAAAAGAGAACTGAGCAAGCCGCCGGCCCTCATGGAGACCGCGGCGGGCTCGGCACGTGACGGAGGCACATCCTTGCAGCGGATGGGGGGGGGGGGCGGCCCCATCCTGGCCAGTCCCACGCCCCCCCAGGCGGCTGGGGACCCCCCAGGGACACCCTACCGGGTCGGGCGGCAACCCATGCTCCCCGGCCGGGGGCAGCTCCGGGTCAGATGCCTCTGAGTCGGCGGTGGAGCCCTGGTGCTCCCACAGCAGGGGGTCTCCACTGAAGGCCTTCTTGAAGCTTCTGGCTGCAAGAGAGCAGTGGCACATGGGCCCGGGGATGCGGCCACCCTCAGCCGGGGGGGGTAAAGGCGCCCTTCGGGGTGTCCCTGTTGAGGGAGGACTGCGCACCCCCTGCAAGGGGCCGGCATCCGAACCCAAACCCCAACCCATGACCCTGACCCCTAAACCGAACCTATAACCATAATCCCTCACCCCAACCCTAATCCCCAACCTTGACCCCAAACCCTAACCCTAAAACCCCACCCATGACCCTGACCCTGACTGTATGCCTAAACACAGATCCTGACCCATAACCTTAAACCCTAATTGTAAACCCTTAACACCCAACCTGAACCCATAACCCCTCACCCCAACCCCAACACCCAACCTTAAACCCTAACCCTAAACACAGACCCTGGCCCTAAACCCAAACCCAAATCCTAACCATAACCCTAAACCCAAACCCCATCTCTTGACCCCTAACCCTAAACCCAACCCCATAACCTTAACCCCTAGTGCTAAACCCAAACCCCTAACCCCAAACCTACCCCAACTGACCCTACCCATACCCCTAAAAATAGACTCTTACCCCTAACTCTAAACCCAAACCTCAACCCTGACCCCAACCCATGACCTTAACCCTAACCCCTAACCCCTACCCCATAACCTTAACCCCTAGTCCTAAACCCAAACCCCCAACCCTAATCCCAACCCCCAACTCTGACCTCAACCCATGACCCTGACACCTAACCCTAAACCCAACCCCATAACCTTAACACCTAGTCCTAAACCCAAACCCCCAACCCTACCCCGACTGACCCAAACCGTACCCCTAAACATAGACCCTGACCCCTAAACCGAACCTATAACCATAATCCCTCACCCCAACCCTAATCCCCAACCTTGACCCCAAACCCTAACCCTAAAACCCCACCCATGACCCTGACCCTGACTGTATGCCTAAACACAGATCCTGACCCATAACCTTAAACCCTAATTGTAAACCCTTAACACCCAACCTGAACCCATAACCCCTCACCCCAACCCCAACACCCAACCTTAAACCCTAACCCTAAACACAGACCCTGGCCCTAAACCCAAACCCAAATCCTAACCATAACCCTAAACCCAAACCCCATCTCTTGACCCCTAACCCTAAACCCAACCCCATAACCTTAACCCCTAGTGCTAAACCCAAACCCCTAACCCCAAACCTACCCCAACTGACCCTACCCATACCCCTAAAAATAGACTCTTACCCCTAACTCTAAACCCAAACCTCAACCCTGACCCCAACCCATGACCTTAACCCTAACCCCTAACCCCTACCCCATAACCTTAACCCCTAGTCCTAAACCCAAACCCCCAACCCTAATCCCAACCCCCAACTCTGACCTCAACCCATGACCCTGACACCTAACCCTAAACCCAACCCCATAACCTTAACACCTAGTCCTAAACCCAAACCCCCAACCCTACCCCGACTGACCCAAACCGTACCCCTAAACATAGACCCTGACCCCTAACCCGAACCCATAACCTTAACCCCGGTCCTAAATCCGAACCCAAACCCCTAACCTCCACCCCTAAGCTGAACCCCAACCCCAACAAATTTCGCCCCAAACTGCCCCACCTGGCAAACGGCCCCCTATGGGCCCCCTGCCCCCCAGACTTACCTCCGGCCTGCTCCACGACGCCGGCCCCAAAGGCCCCGCAGCCGTCCTCCCGGCGGGGGAGGGCCAGCAGCAGGCGTTGCAGCCCCTCGGCTGGTGAGGAAGAGGAGAAGGAGGAGGCAGTCAGCGGGGGCTGGCGGGAGCAGGGCCGCCCCCCCCACCCCCCCGTGGTGCCACACACCTTCCTCCAGGGCCCGGCACAGGAGGACCTGGGGCCGGGGGGGCCCCCCGGCCCCGCTCAGCGCCGCCATCTGCTGGTAGGTCTGGCGCTTCTCGCCCAGCAGCTGCAGGATCAGGGCGTCCTGGCGGCCCAGGCGATCTGGGGGGCGAGGGGGGGGGCTGAGTGGGGGAGGCCCCGCCCACCCCCGGGGAGGGGCGGGGCTTGCGGGGGGCCCTTCCTCCTCCTCCTCCCCCTGGCCGGACGGAGGAAGGAGGCCCCCCCTTCCTCGCTGGATGGAGGAAGGAGGCCCTCCCCTTCTTCCTCATGGGATAGAGGATGAAGGCCCCCCCTTCCTCTCCCTCAGGGGATGAAGGACAGAGACCCTCCTCTTCCTCACGGGATGGAGGAAGGAGGCCCTCCCCCTCTTCCTCTTCCTCGTTGGATGGAGGAAGGAGGCCCTCCTCTTCGTCATGGGATGCAGGAAGGAGGCCCTCCCGGTCTTCCTCTTCCTCGCTGGATGAAGCTGGCCCTCCTCTTCCTCACGGGATGGAGGAAGGAGGCCCTCCCCCTCTTCCTCTTCCTCGCTGGATGGAGAAAGGAGGCCCTCCTCTTCCTCACGGGATGGAGGAAGGAGGCCCTCCCCCTTCCCCTTCCTCGCTGGATGGAGGAAGCCCGCCATCCTCCTCTCCCCTGCCTGCTGGAGGAAGGGGCTGCTCCAGCTGCCCCGCTGCCCCCAGGCCGTGGGGAGCCGCCACGGGCGCCCCGGGGCCGGCGGCCCTACCTCGGCACTCCTGCAGCTTCGCCGCCCGTGCTTCGGCCTGCCGCCGCTCCTCCTCCAGCCTGGAGTCCGGGCACTCCTCGTCGGGGCAGCTGCGGGGAGAGGGGGGTGAGCCCCCCACGTCGGGCCCCCCACCCGCGGGGCCTGCCCGCGCGGGGCCCCCCTGCTAGCGAGGCCGGTGGTCGGAGAGCGGGGCCCCCGACCTGCAGGGCCTTCCTGTGGGCGGCCCCTCCGTGGATGCCGGCAGCGACTCGAGCCCGGGCCCCAGCCACTCACCCTGCGGTGGCCCGCTGGAGGGCCCCCATCCACGCATGCCGCTCCTCCCGGCTGCCGGCCAGCAGCTCGTACATCTCGTGGCCCCGGGCGGAGGCGCCGATGAGGAAGAGGCCCCGGTCGTCGTTGGCCGCCTCCCGGGCGATCAGCCCCTGCAGTGGGACGACGGGGGCCTTGCCGTCCTGCAGGGAGGCGGGGCCCATCATCCCCGGCCGGCCAGACCCCCCCCCTGGATGGGGGGTGGCGGCGGCGGCCAGGGCGGCGCTGGGCGGGGGGTGACATGGCCCCTGGGCTGGTGGGACCGGGCCGGGGGCACGGGGTCCCTCTCTGGATGTTGCAGGTTTGGGCGTTGGGGGTTTGTGTGCTGCGGGTTTGTGTGTAGCTCGTTTGGACGTTGCAAGTTTGTGTGTTGTGTGTTTGAACATTGCGGGATTGTGTGTTGTGCGTTTGGGCATTGTGGATTTGTGTGTTGCGCGTTTGTGCGCTGGAACGGTGGGAGGGTCCTGGGTCAGAGGAAGCTGTTTAATAATGGTATTATTAATTCTTAACAATACTAAAAAGTATGTTTGTAGGGGCATGTGTGTTTGTGTGTGTGTAGATATATAAATATATACGTATATAAAAATATATGTGTGCATATATATGTAAAAATACGTATATCTATATATATCGATATATGTGTGTGTATATGTATGTATACGATATAAACATATATAATTTTAATTTAATAATATAACAATAATTATTGATTTAGCAACATCGCTCCTAAGAAGAAATACAACACTCTATTAAATAAAATTATCAACATTATAGAATATAATAATTGTTATAATAGGAAGCCTTTCAATAATATTATGATTTTTAATACTGCTAAAATGATGGCTAAATTAACAAGATGTGTTGACTTAATATTAGAATATGAATATGGTTCGTTTAATATAGTGAACATCAATATTAATATTATCAAATGCAACAATATTATATTTAATACTACTGCTATTATTGTGATGAAATAATCATTAAATATAATATTTACAAGAGGAAGCTTTTTAAGATTATTCTTTTTTAATAATATTTAAAACTTCTTGATAAATCAGTGATGCTCTGCAGTAATGTAACAGTACGATTATATTATTATCAAAAGTAATATTATCAATATTATCAAAATGTATATTATCGATATTATCAAAATTGATATTATCAAAATGAATACCATTGATATTATCAAAATTGATATTATCAAAATTGATATTATCAAAATTAATATTACTAGCAATATTATCAAAATGAATACTATTATCAATATTATCAAAATGAATACTATTACCAATATTATTATTATAAATATCAAAATTAATATTTTCAAAATGAATAGTATTATCAAAATTAATATTAATATTAACATTATTATCAATATTATCATCAATATTAATATTATTGGTGGTGTTGTTATTATTATTATTATATTAAACCAACACATCTTTGTCAACGTATGACTTTCTCGGTGGGCTCAGGCGCCCCCTTGGCTGGAGGGCTCGGCCAGACCCATCATCCACGGCCCCCGCGGACACCCACCACGTTGGCAAAGCTGTACTTCTGGTCCTTCTCCTGGAGCAGCAGCAGGACATCGCTCAGGAGCACGGCCAGCACCTCTGCGGGACGGGTGGTGGGGGAGGCTGGTCAGTGGCAGCTGGGCCCCGGAGTCCGCGCCCGCTCCCCCTTCCCCCCCACGCCCCCAGCAGTCCTCCGGGAAGGGTGCCCCGCCCCGCCCCAAGGGGCCGGCCATGGGGAGGGACCCCAGGGGCGCCCCCGCCCCCAGTGGCTGCTGGGCCCCGTAGTCCACTCCCGCTCACCCTTCAAGCGCCCGGAGGAGGCCTTCAGGAAGAGGGTGCCGTCCAGGAGCAGCCGGCGCCGTGCGAGCTCCTCCTTGGGGAAAGGCTGCCCGTTCCGCCCCTTGCCGGGGGGCCGCAGGTCCATGCGGGCCAAGATGTCCCGCAGCCGCTGCCCCTTCTCAGCCTCGCTGACCTCGGAGTCTACGGCCGTGATGGCCTCCTTGATGAGGGCCAGGGCCCGCGTCAGCTCTGCGTGCTCCGGCGTGCCGGCTGCAGGAAGGAAGCCGGGGCCCGCGGGGGGCGGTGAGGGGGGCGCAGCCTCCGCAGACGGGGCCTGTGGTGCTGGGGAGCCCGTCCGACCCACGGCGGCCCTATGGGCCACGCTCCTCCAGGCCCTGCCGTCCCCCACCAGCCCCCACCATTGAGCTCCATCTTCAGATCTGGCCTTCTAGAGAACAGTCGGGGTTGATCAGTGGAGATCCAACCAGCCAGTCTGAGATCTTGGAGGAGATCAACCCCGACTGCTCTCTAGAAGGCCAGATCTGAAGATGGACCTCAGTGGAGATCCTACCAGCCAGTCTTAGATCTTGGAGGAGATCAACCCCAGCTGCTCTCTAGAAGGCCAGATCTGAAGATGGACCTCCGTGGAGATCCTACCAGCCAGTCTGAGATCTTGGAGGAGATCAACCCCGACTGCTCTCTAGAAGGCCAGATCTGAAGATGGACCTCCGTGGAGATCCTACCGGCCAGTCTGAGATCTTGGAGGAGATCAACCCCGACTGCTCTCTAGAAGGCCAGATCTGAAGATGGACCTCCGTGGAGATCCTACCGGCCAGTCTTAGATCTTGGAGGAGTTCAACCCTGACTGCTCCTTAGAAGGCTGGATCCTGAAGCTGAAGCTCAGATCCTTTGGCCACCTAATGAGGAGGAAGGGCTCCCTGGGGATGCTGGGAACGAATCGGGGCAAAAGACGCAGGGCTGGCAGAGGAGGAGGCGGCTGGACGGGGTCCCTGGGGCGGTGGGCGAGGGGCTGGGTGGCCTCCGGGGCTGGTGGGGGACGGCAGGGCCTGGAGGAACGTGCCCCATGGGCCGGACAGGACTTCGCGCCCGGCAGCGACCACCCTCACAACCCTCGGAGCATCCACGAGACCCGGAGGTGGCCCCTGCCCCCGGGGGCAGGGGATGCTGGGCCGGGGGGAGCCGGGGAGGATGGGCCCACACCTTCTGTGTTCTGGAGGACGCGCTCCACCAGGACAGGGTACTTCATGATGCGCTGGGTCACCAGGAGGATGCACTCTTGCACCCCGAGCCGCCGCACAATGGTGGCATTGCTGAGCTTCTGGGAAAGGCACAGGAAATGGCGGGTGAGCTGCCGCTCTGGCGGCTGATGACCCCCCCCCCACCATTGTCGCCGATTTGGGGCAGGGGAAAAGCGGGCTGGAAAGCCACTGAATGCAGGAAAAGCTAGCAGGGAGGGAGGAGGAGCTGGCAGGAAAGAAATTGGAGGCAGGAAAAGCTTGCAGGAAGGGGAAAAAGCTTGCAGGAAGACAATTTCAGGCAGGGAAAATTTGCAGGAAGGGGGAAAAAACCTTGCAGGAAGACAATTTCAGGCAGGAAAAGCTTGCAGGAAGGGGGAAAAAACCTTGCAGGAAGACAATTTCAGGCAGGAAAAGCTTGCAGGAAGGGGGAAAAAACCTAGCAGGAAGACAATTTCAGGTAGGAAAAGCTTGCAGGAAAGCAATTTCGGGCAGGAAAAGCTTGCAGGAAGACAATTCCGGGCAGGAAAAGCATTCAGGAAGAGGGGAAAAAAACCTTGCAGGAAAACAATTCCGGGCAGGAAAAGCTTGCAGGAAGGGGGAAGAAACCTTGCAGGAAGACAATTTCAGGCAGGAAAAGCTTGCAGGAAAGCAATTTCGGGCAGGAAAAGCTTGCAGGAAGACAATTCCAGGCAGGAAAAGCTTGCAGGAAGACAATTCCGGGCAGGAAAAGCTTGCAGCAGCAAAACAGGGAAGCAAAGGCACCAAAGCCAAACGCTGCAGCAGGCGGAAGGGAAGAGCCGGTGCCGCTCTTACCTTCATCAGGTCCTGGAACTTCTTGTTCCGCTGCAGCAGCTCCTTGTAGTACCCGACGGCCTCGGCGTAGCGGCTGCAGAAGACGCCATACTTCTCCTTCAGGCAGTTGCCCGTCTCACCGGAAAACTAGGGTGGGGGCACAGAAAAAGCAGGGCCTGAGCTGGAGGGGCAAGGGGAAGAGCTGGGGGCAGGCTTGGGGAGGGGAGTACACTTCCAAGCATCCCCGGGGCCCAAAGGGATGTGGGCGAGATGAATGGGGAAAATGAAATGAAATGAAATGAAATATAATAAATCAAATGAAATCAAATGAAATCAAATAAACTAAAATCAAATATAATAAATCAAATCAAATCAAATATAATATAAATATAATAAATCAAATCAAATCAAACCAAATAAACTAAAATCAAATCAAATATAATATAAATATAATAAATCAAATGAAATCAAATAAACTAAAATCAAATATAATATAATAAATCAAATCAAATCAATCAAATCAAACCAAAAATAATATAATAAATCAAATGAAATCAAATAAACTAAAATCAAATCAAATCAAATATAATATAAATATAATAAATCAAATGAAATCAAATAAACTAAAATCAAATCTAATCCAATATAATAAATCAAATAAACTAAAATCAAATCAAATATATCAAATCAAATTAAACCAACTAAACTAAACTAAACTCAAATCAAGATAAGTCAAATAAAATAAAATAAAATAAAATAAAATAAAATAAAATAAAAAAATTGAATTGAATTGAATTGAATTGAATTGAATTGAAATGAAATGAAATGAAATGAAATGAAATGAAATGAAATGAAATGAAATGCTGGTGTACGCAGAAAAGCAATTGTTACCATCCTTCCTGACTGCCATGCCATGAACACATCAAAAGATGCCTCGGGGACCGGCGGTGAAGAGCAGGCGACCCCACTCCATTAGCGGGAGACTGTCAAGGTGTTTTATGGACTTGCCCGCATGCCTCGCTACCCCTGTATGTTCACACATGCAACCCTTCTGTGTACTTCACTTGGCCGGCCTGTTTAAGGTAACCTTAATTTAGAAGGCCTGTCAAAGGCATCTAATTGGAGTGGAATGAGCGGCTGGAGCCGGGGTCAGACTAGATGGCCCGGAGGCCCCTCCTGCCTCACTCGGTTTCCATGATTCTCTGAGCAGAGCTGGGATATTCCCCCACCTTTCTCTCAAACACCGGTCAGGGACTTGTCTGAACGGACCAGAGACTCTAATGCTGCTCTTCCTACAGTATATGAGCAATCTCTGAATTGCCACGGAAGCCAGGGAATTTAATTCGCAAATACCACAATTCTGACAATATCGTCAAAATAAAAAGGTCTTCGCCTGGCGCCGAAAAACAAGTAAAGGCGATAAATAAATAAAACAGAAATTTCCTCATTTCTGAGTTTGCAGTTTCGGAGAACTGGCTCAGCGCATGATATAATATTTCTGTTTTGCTAGCAGAAATAAATTATAAATACATAAATTTATTATAATGAATAATAATAAAAAATTGTTAGTAGCTGCTGAAAACCCAGCATGGATTTCTCACGCCTGGAACAAGTTGCATGGCTGGATTCGCACCCAGGACTGGGGAAGACAGACATGCAGGTTACAGAAGCACAGGCACATGGGGTCCCGGATCCGCGAGAGGAGAGGAAAAGGAAATTAATTTTTGCATATTTGGTGTGAAAATGACCCCACGGGTCCCACAGGTGAGGCTGTGACAGGTGAGGACCGCTGAAAGGACCATACCGGTCGGGGCAATGATGGAGGACCACAACATCCATTCGGCCGAGTGGCACATGGGACATGCTGGGATGTTTGGGGGGGCAGTGGGGGGGGGGTTGGGGGGGGCAGCTAGCATGGGGCTGGGTCTGCGGAGCCGGACAGGCCCGGCCGGTGGCTGGATGGGCAACCACTTGTGCATTTATTTAATTTAATTTAAAATTTTATTTATTTATTTATATCCATTTTTGCTTTATTTTATTTTATTTTTATTTATTTATTATTATTATTTTATTTTTTCCTTTATTATTTTGTTTATTTATTTTTGTTATTTTATTATTTGTTTATTTTATTGTTTATTTAGTTATAATTTAATTTAATTTAATTATTTATTTAGCATTTTTCTATGCCATCCCAGTTGCAAAAGCCTTGGGATGGCTTCCAACACTGAAAACACACCATCAATAATAATATCGAGTTGGGATGTTTCCAAATTTTATATGTATTCATTTTATAGGTATTTATTTACGACGTCGGAAGCCGTCCCGAGGCTTCTGCAAATTGGGACGGCATACAAAAATCCCAAATAAATAAATAGATTGCACATATAAATGTATGAAATATAAAATATTGTATTCACCCTGGCTATCGAAGGATAAAACCCATCAATGACATTAATGATTATTAAAATATTGCTTGAATAAAAAGGTCTTCTTTTTGGATCTATCTCCTGCCTTTTCCTACCAAGGGCTCAAGGCAGCTTGCATCCTTCTCCTCCTCCATCTTCTCCCCACAACAACCACCCTGCAAGGTGGGTTGGGCTGAGAGTCTGTGGCTGGCCCAGAGTCCCCCAGTTGCCTCCTTGGCCGGGTGGGGCCTCGAACCAGATCGCCCGAGTCCCAGCCCCAGGCTCTAACCACTAGACCGCCACTGCCTGCTGTGCATTTTTCCCGCAAATGGGGCTGGGAAGTGCCACTTGGTGCCACCAGGACGACATACTACGGGCATTATTGATTTTATTGTATATATTTATATGAAATTATAAAATTTATGTAATTGTATACAAATATAAAATACATAAAATTATAACATTTTATATATTTATATACAATTTATATAAAATTGTTTTATATCTTTATATATATTTATTTCCTTTAAAATAAAATAAATTTGGAACTATATTTTGTATCTTTATTCCTTTAAAATAAAATAAATTTGGAATTTCATTTTATAGATTTATCTATTTATTTTCTTAAAGATAAAATGAATTTGGAATTTTATTTTACAGATTTATCTATTTATTTTCTTAAAGATAAAATGAATTTGGAATTTTCTTTTATAGATTTTTTTAGATTTTATAGGTTTTTATAGATTTTTATAGATAGACTTTTATAGATTTTATAGATGTATAGACTTTTATAGATTTTATATATATATATTCATTTTCTTAAAGATAAAATAAATTTGGAATGTTATTTTATAGATTTATATATATATTTATTTTCTTAAAAATAAAATAAATTTGGAATTTTATTTTATAGATTTATCTATGTATTTATTTTCTTTAAAATAAATTTGGCATTTTTGACTGCCGCCCCATTTGCGGAAGCCTCGGGACGGCTTTTGGCGTAATTAATCAACAATATAGAAATAATACATATATTTATTTGTTATCTATTTATTTGGAATTCTTCTATGCTGCCCCATTTGCAAAGCCTCAGGGCGGCTTCCAAGACAAATATATGGCAATACAAATACTTAAAAAATTGGAAACATCCTGGCATAATATAAAATCAATCAATAAAATCAGCAATTAAAATAACATTTCAATAAAATCCGGATTACCCCTGACTGCAGAAGTTCACACTGATAAAAAATATTAAGAATTATTAAGATATTGTTGAAATAAAAAGGTCAGCCTGGCGCCGAAAAACAAGTAACAACGGCACCAGGCGGGTAAAAAGAGCGAGCTCAGCAAGTGAGCCCAGCTGCATGGGGCACACTGGCAGATGCAAAACTGCACAGGAGAAAACCCTATAGGGGAATGATGGGACTCGGAATCACCACATGGGGCATGTAGTGCCAGACATCTGAAAATGGTCTTGTGATTCTCCTTGTGCTGCTAGACCTGTACGTCAGTGGTGGATGATGGAAGGACTACAGTTCCCAAACTCTCTCAAACTTGCCATCGTCCCCGTACTATTTCAGCTTGCTTGTTCTTAAATCAAGTTAACCAGTTTAAATCAGGAAAACTCAACACTTTAATCACTTAATTAATAACTTTAATTATGTGTGCTATTTATATGGTTTATTTATTGTATGGGAGCCGTTCCCAAGGCTCAGGCGAACGGGACGGCATACAAAAACTCCAAATATATAAATAAGTAAGTAAGTAAGTTAGTTAGTTAAAATGATGTTCACGTAAATAAATAAATGCTCACATAAGGGGTCTCCTGGGACATCTAGTCTGACCCCGGCTCCGCTCAGAGGAACACAGAAAGAGAGCAAGGCGGAAGGGACCTCCGGGCATCTAGTCTGACCCCGGCTCCGCTCAGGGGAACATGGGGACAGAGGGAGGCGGAAGGGGCCTCTGGGTCATCTAGCCTGACCCCGGCTCTGCTCAGAGGAACATGGAAACAGAGCGAGGCAGGAGGGCCTCTGGGCTATCTAGTCTTATTTTGTTTAGGATTTATAATATTTGGTAAGCTGTCCGGAGACGACCATGATGGACAGCCTATAAATTTCCTAAATAAATAAATAAATAAACATTTGAGCGCTATTTTAAAGGCAATCCATTTTAATTGTACATGTATTTCTCTAATTTCTTTTAAATATGTTGGATTTATGCTAAGTTCGGGGCATAGTTAATTGATTTGGTTTCCAATTTATGATATTCTGTATGCCGTCTGGAGACGACTGTGATGGACGGCCCAGAAATTTCCGGAATAAATAAATTAAGAAATAAATTCCTAAATAGGTAAATTTATGTTGTGAGGCGCCCCGAGGCTTCGGCGAATGGGGAGGCATAGAAATGTTTTAATTAATAAATAAATAAATAAATAAATAAATGCCCTAAATAAACACATAAATAAATGTCCTAAAGAAATAAATACATAAATAAATTTCCTAAAAAAATAAATAGACCAGTTTCCTAAATAAATAAATAAATAAATAAATAGGCAATGATGGACGGTCGAGAAGCTGCCTAAATGAATCAATAAATTTCCTGAATTGATAAATTTCCTGAATAAATTGATAAATTTCCTAAATAAATCCATACATTGCCAAAATAAATAATACATAAATCAATTTCCAAAATAAATCAATAAATTGCATAAATCAACCAATAGATCTCCTATATAAAAAATAAATTTCCTAAAGTAAATCAAGAACATGCCAAAATAAATTAATTTCCTAAATAAATTGATAAATTTCCTAAATCAAAAAATTTCCTAAATAAATAAAAAAAAATCCTAATGGAATCGATAAATGTTCTAAGTGAATCGATCAATTGCCAAAATGAATCAATCCATAAATCAAGTTCTGAAATCAATTGATGAATTGCATCAATCAATCAATTTCCTAATTAAATCAATACATTGCCAAAATCAATTTCCTAAATAAAGCAATAAATTTCCGAACAGAATCGATCACTGTGCAAAAGGAATTCATCAATTGCCAAAATAAATCAATGCGTACATCAATCTGTGAAATAGACCGACGAGAGAACCCAGCTGTCCCCGCACTGTGCTGGCGGCTGCTCCGGGCCGCGCGGTGCACCCAGAGAGCATCCGGAGGGGCCCCTGACCCCACATCCCCGTCCCTCCCAAGCGAGGGAGGGAGCCGCTGCAGGGAAAGCCCCGTGCCCGCCAGGGCTACGGGGGCGAATGGGCCCCGGGGCAAATGGGCACTCTGCACGCACACAGGAACACACCTGCCGGACGAGGAGGTCCCCGATGTGGCGGATGAGGTAGTTGCAGGCGCTGCCAGCCTCACGGGACTCCATGCGGCGCAGCTTCAACTGGGAGAGGAACTCCTCGTGCAGGCCCAGGAGATCCTCAGCGCAGGGGAAGAGAAGCTGCAGGGTGGCGCTGCTGAAGTGCAGGGCTTCGCGCATGGCCTGTGCGTACACCTTCAGCAGGATCTTCAGGGTGCGGACGTGGTGCACCTCGGTGCGAATCAGCTCTGCGGGGCAGGGGGAGGGAGCGTCAGCTTTGGGGCCGCTCGGAGCGGGGCCGGGGTCAGACTAGATGATCTTGGAGGTCCCTTCTGCCTCGCTCGGTTCCCATGTTCCTCTGAACAGAACTGGGGTCAGACTAGATGATCTTGGAGGTTGCTTCTGCCTCCCTCTGTTCCCATGTTCCTCTGAGCAGAGCTAGGGTCAGACTAGATGACCCAGAAGCCCCTTCCGCCTCACTCGGTTCCCATGTTCCCCTGAGCAGAGCTGGGGTCAGACTAGATGGCCCGGAGGCCCCTTCCGCCACGCTCTTTTCCCATGTTCCCCTGAGCAGAGCCGGGGTCAGACTAGATGGCCCGGAGACCCCTTCCGCCTCCCTCTGTTCCCATGTTCCTCTGAGCGGAGCCGGGGTCAGACTAGATGGCCCGGAGGCCCCTCAAGCCTCACTCTGTTTCTCAGCTTCTCCGTGCCAGCCCGGCCGGCGTGGGCGTCCCAGGGGGGGCCCGGCACGGGGTCCGAGGGGTGTCCGGGTGGCCCTACCGTAGATGACCTCCTGCCGCCGGACCGTCTCCTTGTCCTGCCTCGCCATGTACTGCTGCTCCACGGCCAGGCTCCAGGAGTGCGCCCTGAATTCCCGCGCGTCCGCCTCCAGCTCATTCCACAGGGCGGACAGGTAGCCATCTGGGGGGGATGAGATGGGGTCCGTGACTCATGCACCCATGTGCCCCAGCTGGGCGTGCCGCCTCCAGGGGCGTTGCCCACCCCCTCCATCCCTCCCGGCGGGGGAAAGGCTGCCCCGGGTTGTCGGGGCTTCGCAGTGCTTCCCCCACACAGAGTCTGGGGGCCCTGACGTGGAGCCGCCGCACGGGGCATGCCCTGCGAAGAAGCAGGATGATGGGAACTGCAATCTGCACCTCTGCGGACCCGTTTCTGCCCGCCCTGGGTGAGAATGGCCCGTGCCGGGGAAGGGGACCAAGGGGCGAGCCCTGGGCTGGGCAGAATGGGCAGAGCGCGCCGGATTCCCATCATCCTGAGCTCCGGCGGCATGCCTCTCCTTGCCACCCGAGCCATGTGGGCAATGGGGGTTGTGGCGGGCCGGCTGGGGCTGCTGGGTCGGGGTGGCCGCCCCGGGGCGGGCTCTGGACTCCGAGTCCAAACCGGGGGACGTCGCCTCCGTGCAGCTTCCAGGGGCAGAGTGGCCGCCTCCAGCAACATGTCCCATGCTCCATGTCGCCCGGTCCCTGGCCTACCTTGCAGGGCGGTCGTGGCAAGCACGGAAGGGAGGTCAGGACACGCCGTAGCCACCAGGGACCCCCCCCCGAGCGGCTGGGGAGCGGGGCGTATGGGTACCGCAACCTCCCCCGTGCACAGCACTGCAGCCCCAGCACCCCCAGCACCCAGTACCTTCCAGGAAGATAGACTCCGTCGTGGCTGCCGCATCCTCGGCACCAGGCCTCACCCGCAAGGGGCCGTCGCTGTCGTCCATGTCCACCCTGGGGAACCTAGATGGGGGCAGAAGGGCGAGAGGGTCGGGTCGGTGCTTGTCCCTGGGGCCGCCGGCGCCTGCGCATACAATGGAGGGCAAGCCTGCCTTGCCAGGACGCGTCTCAGTGGCTCTGTTTCTATGGCTGGAGCCGGGGTCAGACTAGATGGCCCGGAGACCCCTTCCGCCTCGCTCGGTTCCCATGTTCCCCTGAGCAGAGCCGGGGTCAGACTAGATGACCTTGGAGGCCCCTTCTGCCTCGCCCTGTTCCCATGTTCCCCTGAGCAGAGCTGGGGTCAGACTAGATGGCCTGGAGGCCCCTTCCGCCTCCCTCTGTGCCCATGTTCCCCTGAGCAGAGCTGGGGTCAGACTAGATGCCCGGAGACCCCTTCTGCCTCGCTCTCTTTCTATGTTCCCCTGAGCAGAGCTGGGGTCAGACTAGATGGCCCGGAGGCCCCTTCTGCCTCGCTCTCTTTCTATGTTCCCCTGAGCAGAGCTGGGGTCAGACTAGATGGCCCGGGGACCCCTTCTGCCTCGCTCTGTTCCCATGTTCCTCTGGCAGAGCCGGGGTCTGACTAGATGGCCCGGAGACCCCTTCTGCCTCGCTATGTTCCCATGTTCCTCTGGCAGAGCCGGGGTCAGACTAGAACGCCCGGAGACCCCTTCCGCCTCCCTCTGTGCCCATGTTCCCCTGAGCAGAGCTGGGGTCAGACTAGATGCCCGGAGGCCCCTTCCGCCTTGCTCGGTTCCCATGTTTCTCTGAGAGGAGCCGGGGTCAGACTAGATGGCCCAGAGTTCCCTTGTGCTTCGCTCTGTGTCTATGATTCTCTGAGCGGAGCCGGGGTCAGACTAGATGACCTTGGAGGCCCCTTCTGCTTCGCTCTGTGTCTATGTTTCTCTGAGCAGAGCCTGGGTCAGACTAGATGCCCGGAGGCTCCTTCCGCCTTGCTCTCTTTCTATGTTCCCCTGAGCAGAGCCGGGGTCAGACTAGATGGCCCGGAGGCCCCTTCTGCCTCGCTCTGTGCCCATGTTCCCCTGAGCAGAGCCGGGGTCAGACTAGATGGCCCGGAGACCCCTTCTGCCTCGCTCTGTGCCCATGTTCCTCTGAGCAGCGCCGGGGTCAGACTAGATGGCCCAGAGGCCCCTTCTGCCTCCCTCTGTGCCCATGTTCCTCTGAGCAGAGCCGGGGTCAGACTAGATGGCCCGGATGACCCTTCTGCCTCACTCTGTTCCCATGTTCCTCTGGCAGAGCCGCGGTCAGACTAGATGACCCAGAGGCCCCTTCTGCCTCGCTCTGTTTCTATGTTTCTCTGAGTAGAGCCGGGGTCAACATCTAAAGATTAATTGTTAAAATAATAAAATAAAATCAAAACCTAAAATGTGTAAAACATTGTTAAAATAAGTAAATCAAATCCTAAAAAATTATTTATATATATTATATATAGTATCTATAATACATGATATATATTATATACCATAGCACTAAATGCAGATTTTACTAAGCATATTTTATTATAATATGCTTACATTATACTTTTGTTTATATATTATATATAGCATCTATATTAAATAGATATATATATATATCATAGTTCTAAAATCACATTTTATTAAGCACATTTTAAGCATGCTATATAATATATATCTCTATGTATATATAGTATATATAATAGCACTAAAAGCACATTGTATTAAGCATACTTTATTAAACACATTAATTATAACATAACATAATTACATTATACTTCTATTTATATATTTTAGATAGAGCACCTATATTATATATATAATATGTATCATACCACTACATGCACATTTTATCAGGCACATGCTATTATATTATAATTACATTATATTTTTATTTATTCATTATATATAGCACCTATACTATATATATAGATATATATTATATATCATAGCACTAAAAGCAATTTTATTAAGCATATACTATTATAATATTATAGTTACATTACAATTTTATTCATTTCAGATATAGCTCCTATGCTATATATATATTTTATATGATAGCATTAAAAGCACATTCTATTAAGCACATGCTACTACAATATTATAATTATAATTTTATTTATATATTATATATAAAACACCTATACTATATATAGTTACATATATTATATATCATAGCACTAAAAGCATCTTTTATTAAGCACATGCTATTATAATTACATTAGTTTTATTTATATGTATTATATATAGCACGTATGCTCTCTCTCTCGCGCTCTCTCTCTCTCTATATATATACATATATATATAGTATTTATCATAGCACTAAAAGCAATTTTATTAAGCACATGCTATTAATTACATTATAATTTATTTATTCATTATTATATATAGCACCTATACTATATGTATAGATATATATTATATATCATAGCACAAAAAGCCCATTTTATTAAGCACATGCTATTACAATAATTATACATACAATATGTACTACTTTCTATATAATTAGATATTACGTTTGTGATAATAAACATTGTAATATTCTGCTGTCGATCATGGGGCTTTTCTCGGGTCATCGAAGCCGTGTCCCCAGACGAGGACCGGGACCTGCCACCCCGACCCACGCTTTGGGGGGGCCCCGCCGGCCCGCCCCCAGCCCCAGTCCACCCGGACCCCCGTGGCAGCCACTCAACCCACCTGACCTTCCGCACGGCCCCAGCGGAGGCGGCGCTCAGCAGTGCGGTCCTCGGTGGCGGCGCAGTCCTCTTCTGCCGGTTGCCATTGGGGCCCGGTGACACTCGGCGGGGGTGCTCCTTGTGGCCGCGGGCTGTGGGGGAGGAGGCGGTGATGGGGTCGGCCACCGGGGTGCCGGACTGGGTCCCCCGGCCCCCCAAGGGGGGGCCGAGGACCGCCACGGGGTCACCAGCATGGCCGCCCTGCTTGGTGCGAGGGGATCCGGGGGCACCTTTGGGCTACCGGTGGGGGGAGCCCAGGGCCCAGCGGCCACCCACACAGGGACACCCCACCTGCGCGGCTGAGCCGGGCCTTCCCCTGCAGGGGGGTTGGGTGGCCATGGAGGGGCCCTGGGGGGGCTGCTGGCTGTGGGGCAGGAGGGGGTCCAGAGATACCTGTGGGCTAGCAATACATGTATGCGGCCACTGCGCTAGGGCTGGGAGAAAGAGGAGGAGGAGGAAGAGGAGGAAGGCTCCGCCACCAGCACTCGACACGCCCCCTCTGGCCACCCATGGCCACCGAGTGCCGTCCTCGCCTCACCCTTCCCGGACGGGCGTGTGGCTGCTGGGGCGGTGCCGGGGTGACTGGGCTCAGGTGGCCACCGGGAGGTGCCCGTGGTGGCACATGGGCCATGGGGTAGCCACCACCGGTCCGGGTGGCTACGGCAAAGGGGGGGTTCCCCCCCCGAAATGGGGCTGCTGAAGCCAAGGACAGGGATGGGCAGGGGGCGGATCCGGGTGCCTGGTGCCCATGTTCCCCAGCCCACCCCCAGGCACCCCAAGCCTTGGCCGGCACCCCCGGGTGATGGGCCTCGGAGTGCTGCAGAAGAGCTGCCGATCCGTTGACCGGTCTTCAGACACCCCCCACTTGCAGGCCTCTGACGCCTGGCCCGGGTGGCCCCGCGGGGCGGAGGGCGGGGAGGGAAGGACCGCCCCCAGTGGGATGGTCCTCGGCAGGGAGGACACCCCGGGCACACTTGGTACGCACCTGGAGCCGGGCTCCGGAGGTGGCTAGTTTGCGGGCCGGCGGGCAACGGGCGCGGCAGATCCCTGTGCTGCGAGAGAGGAGACATGGGGGCCGGTTGGAGGGTGTGGGACCCCCAGCCGAGCCCTACACCCCCCTGGCCCGCTTTCAGCCCCCCCGGAAAACCCTGGGCCACCCCGCACCCCGGAGCCGAGCCGGCGGGGGCCGCCTGGACCCTAGGCATGGACGCTGTGGCCCGGGGCACGACCCCCAGCCAGGGGGGCTGACGCGGCCCCCCACCGCCCCCAAGGGACCACCGCTCTGCAACCCATGGATCCCGTTTGGGGTGTCCCCGAAGCGTCCCCGCCATCGGAAGGGGTACAGGCAGCGGGTCCGGAGTCCGGGCCCCATTCACCCCAGGGAATGCCCCAGGGGCTTCCCCCGTGGCTGGCTTGGACTACCTGCCCCGGGGCAACTGCTCAGGGATGGGGGAGGGGCAGGGGGCAAATCTGGGGCAGAGGCCTACCTTGGATCGGGGGCTTCGGCTTGCAGGCGAGGGAGCCTTGTGGGGTCTGGGGGGGTTGGAACCACAATCTGGGGAGAGGGAAACAAGAGGGGGCCGGTTGGACCTGCGCGCGGCCTCACTGAGGACTAGAAACTCTGGCAGGCTGCTGGGAAGCCCGGCCAGCGGGCGGAGGATGCCATCCGGAAAACCATGGTGCAAAGCTTCGTTGCCAAAGGCCGACACTGCCGTATTGTCCCATCAATACAGCGCCCCAGCGTATGGGACGCCCCTCACTTTTCTCCCCCGAAATTCAGAATTTGAACACTAAATAGAAGACATTTTGATGTAGTGCTTGGGTAACGTTAACATAGCAGAGCGATGATATTCTGCCTCACATGTAGCTCAGAAAATAACTTTGTTCGGCCTCTATTGCTCGCGAGGTCAGACTAGATGACCTTGGAGGATCCTGCTGCCTTGCTCTGTGCCTATGTGTCTCTGAGCAGAGCCAGGGTCAGACTAGATGGCCCAGAGACCCCTTCCGCCTCCCTCTGTTCCCATGTTCCCCTGAGCAGAGCCGGGGTCATACTAGATGGCCCGAAGACCCCTTCCGCCTCGCTCTGTTCCCATGTTCCTCTGGCAGAGCCGGGGTCAGACTAGATGGCCCGGAGGCCCCTTCCGCCTCCCTCTGTGCCCATGTTCCTCTGAGCAGAGCCGGGGTCTGACTAGATGGCCCAGAGTCCCTTCTGCCTCCCTCTGTGCCCATGTTCCTCTGAGCAGAGCCGGGGTCTGACTAGATGGCCCGGAGACCCCTTCCGCCTCGCTCTGTTCCCATGTTCCTCTGGCAGAGCTGGGGTCAGACTAGATGGCCCGGAGGCCCCTTCCGCCTCCCTCTGTGCCCATGTTCCTCTGAGCAGAGCCGGGGTCAGACTAGATGGCCCAGAGTCCCCTTCTGCCTAGCTCTGGGTCTATGCTTCCCTGAGCGGATCAGCTAGAGCCAGCCCCACCAAGACACTAGGGCCCCACACCAGGAAAGCAGGCTGGGGTTGTTTGGATGCCCCTCAAACCGCGGGGACCCTGGGAGGCCCCCCACAGCCTCGCAAGGCTGGAATGGGGGGACGTTCCCCTTTACAGGCTTGAATGGCTGACGGAGGTTGTCCTCATCGCTCCATCGCGAGCCCACTTCCTCCAGGCCCTGCCGTCCCCCATCAGCCCTGGAGGCCACCCAGCCCCTCGCCCACCGCCCCAGGGACCCCGTCCAGCCGCCTCCTCCTCTGCCAGCCCTGCGTCTTTTGCCCCGATTCGTTCCCAGCATCCCCAGGGAGCCCTTCCTCCTCATTAGGTGGCCAAAGGATCTGAGCTTCAGCTTCAGGATCCAGCCTTCTAAGGAGCAGTCAGGGTTGATCTCCTCCAAGATCTCAGACTGGCTGGTTGGATCTCCACGGAGGTCCATCTTCAGGATCTGGCCTTCTAGAGAGCAGCGGGGGTGATCTCCCCCAAGATCTAAGACTGGCTGGTTGGATCTCCATTGAGGTCCATCTTCAGATCTGGCCTTCTAGAGAGCAGTCAGGGTTGATCTCCTCTAGGACTGACTGGGTTGATCTCCTAGAGGTCCTAGGGACTTTCAGGAGTCTCCTCCAGCCCCACAATCCAAAGGCCTCAGTTGTTCCTTCTCTTCAGGTGGCCAAAGTATCTGAGCTTTTCCATACCTGACCTTCTAAAGGGCTGCTCTCTTTTAGGTTGACTGGATGGACCTCTTTGCAGTCCAAGGGAGGAGTCTTCCTGGCACCACATTCCAAAGGAAACAGAGAATCAGAGCGAGGCAGAAGGGGTCTCCTGGGCCATCTAGTCTGACCTTGGCTCCGCTCAGGGAAACACAGAAACCGAGTGAGGCAGAAGGGGCCTCCGGGGCATCTAGTCTGACCCACGGCAACAGACACTGGCAAATAAGGACATCGCAAGAAGAACCCAGCTCGGAGTTTTAAGCGAGTGGCATGGGGTTTTCTTCTCTGTCGCAGGGGGGTCAAAAGGGCTTCTGACGGATGGGGGGGCACACTATGGGATGGAGCTCCTGCCAAGTTCCCCTCCACTGGGCGGCTGGTAGATGCACGGGAACACACAAGCAACACAAACACACCACGGATGCAACTTTTGCTGCAGCTCTAGATTCATGGGAACACACAAGCAACACAAACACACAACGGATGCTTCTTCACCTGTGGAAGAGACCCTGCCATGCAGCTCCAGGTCCACAGGAACACAAAAGCAACGCAAACACACAAGGGACACTGCCCCACCCGCGAGAGAGACCCTGCTGTCCAACTGCAGATGCACGGGAATGCGCAAGCAACGCAAACACACAATGGATGCTGCTTCTCCTGAGAGAGATTGTGCTATCCAGGTCTAGATGCTACTCATGCACGGCCCGGGCAGTTCTCAGGGGCAGCGGCTCACGACAGCAATGTATTACCCGCACAGCCCGCACTGTCAGCAGCAGCAACTCTCTGAAGGCCAGCTGCTGCTGAAGACAAGCAGCTGGGGCCACAGAGCTTAGAAGCAGCTCCCCCACAGGGCCTAGTCGACCTTGCCTCCAGCTCAGCTAACAGCTGCTGGTTCTTCCCTGTTCCAGCTTTCAGTTTCTCCAGCTAAAGTCACATGAGCAACAATCCAGGTAGATAAGGTTGGAACTCTGTGCTGATGGTGGGGGGGACCCGGAAAACAACGCCAAGCAGGCAGCTTAGACAGCAAGTGTGCTTTCTTAGTACGATGGGAAGAAACGGTACTTTCCAAAATATAAAAACTGGATTAAAAACGTACCTTGGTTCTTTTCAGCCCAGGAGGCACTGAGTGGTGGATGCTGAAGGAAGGCTTTTGGCTCACCCAACCCAAGACTGCCTCCAGTGCAGCAGGCAAAAACACGAGAGGGGCCACGCCTGCCACAGTTTGCACCCGTTGCCAGCCTGTCACCCACAGATTTGTGTCAAACTCATGTATGGCTCTGGACCAGAAGGAAGGCTGAGCGCCGAAGGACTGAGGCCTTTGGACTGTGGTGCTGGAGGAGACTCTGCGAGTCCCTTGGACCGCAAGGCGATCAAACCGTTCAGTCCTGGAGGAGATCAACCCTGACTGCTCTTCAGAAGGCAGGATCCTGAAGAGGAAGCTCAGATCCTCTGGCCACCGAATGAGGAGGAGGGACTCCCCGGGGATGCTGGGAACAATCGGGGTCAACAGGAGAAGGGGACGGCAGAGGGTGGTCCCCCAGTGACCCCATCCAGCCACCTCATTTAATGGTGGCTGGATGGGGTGGCTGGATGGGGTCCCTGGGGCGGTGGGTGAAGGGCTGGGTGGCCTCCGGGGAAGGCGGGGGACAGCAGGGCCTGGGGGAACGTTGTCCGTGGGATCGCGAGGGGTCGGACGCGACTTCGCGACTAGCAGCAGCAACGTAAGGACTAGGAACTTGCATTCTCTTCAAATACAAGGCCAACTGGAGGCGGCCAGCCTGCCACTCCGCGGAAGGAGCCCCTCCTCGCCCGCCCGCGGGGAACGGGCAGAGGCCGCAACCAACCTGAGCCACCAGGGGGCGCCCGGCAGCTTCTCCGGGTGCCGCCTGCCCTCCGGGGCCGCTGCTTCCGCCGGCGCCCGAGCAGCGGCCACGCGGCCCCGTCCTCCGGAAGAAGCGCCGACGCGAGAACCGTCCCCGCCGCCGCCGCCGCCCACGAAGAGGGCGCTTCCCGCTGAGCCAGGCCCGCCTCGCGAGATCGGCCGCAGTTCCCGCGCGAGCAAGCGCGAGGCCGCCCTTCTCGCGAGACGTGGAGCGCGAGGCCTCCTCCCAGCGGAGCGGGCTGAGATAGCGCGAGGGCGCCGCGCTTGGGTCTCGCGCCGTGGGGCAGGACCTGCGTCATCGCGCCCGTTGCCCGGAGACCGCGTCGCCTAGGCGACCGGTGCCGCCCCCCTCGTGCGCCGCGCAGCCGGCCGACCCCGCAGGGCCGTTGTGCGGCGAGCTGGAGCGCGGCGGAGGCGGGATGACGGAAGCCGCTCGGCGTCCGTGGCAAGCAAGCGCGAAGCCGAGCGAGCGAAGGGACGCGCGCGTGCAACGCGCAATTGCACGAGGTCCGCCGCAACGTTAAAATTTCCCAATTACAACTTAATAAAGGCGCCATTAACAGCAAAACGTTTCCCCACGAAAGAACGTGGAGCTCGCGTAATCGTTCTCGCCTGGAAAGGGAGACCTTGCCCTGCGCGTTCAAGAGAGAGATGCATTTCTCATGCACGCTCCGTCTGCACCAACAGGACTGTACTGAGTGTGTTTGCTCGCCATTTTCCCGATGTTTATACACTTAAAGCCAAATCCTGTGCATGCTGCATGCAGTCAAGGTAGGTAGGGATGCAGAGCTGCTAACTTCCAATTAGATGTGTGGACAAGCCCCCTTTGCTTTGCTCGCCCTTCTGTGCGCTCATCCAGAAGAGGGGCTGGCGCAGCGGGGCTGGGATGCAGGTGGAGCGGGGTGCGCACAAGCATGCATGGATGAGCCCCAGCCGGGCTGGGAGGGCGCTACTCACGCAAGCACTGCGGCCCCGTCTGGCTGGACAGGGTCTTGCCACAGATGGAGCAGCAGCGGATGTGGCTGCCGAAGGCCCCCGGTGCCAGCACATGCCCATGCGGTCCGCGCTTGCCCGCCTCCGTCTCCCCAGCCTCTGTGTGCTGCTCTTTGGTCTTACCCTGAAAGAGAAAACAGGCAGCTTCCTAGATCCTTGCTTCAGAACCACAAGCTCTGATAATCTTCCTCGTCAGGGAAGGGGCCACAGCTGAGTGGCAGGACATTACTTTGCATGGCAAGGTTCCCCAGACTGGACCCCAACAGCATCTCCAGGAAGGCATCTGGCCAGAACCCCTGGAAGCTGGTGCTGTTCACCATATAATCCCTGTCACGTTGCTATTTTCATCAGCCCTCTGTGCAGAATCTCATGAGCACTTGGCCTTTCAGGGAAGGACTATAGCTCGCTGGCAGAGGCAGGTCTGTCCATGAGGGGGGTGCCAGGTGCCAGCTGGGTGGGTGCCAGGGCCAGCTGGACAGGCAGGGGTATAGGGGGCCAGGTCTCACCTTGTCTTTCTGCCATGATCCAGTGACACGGCTGCGAAGATTGCTCAGGCGGCGTTTCACCTTTGCCCCTCTGTCTCCTCTTTCATTTTTCTCATCGTCTTCAGGGCTGCGCCAAGAAAAGAACGAATGATAAATCTTACCAGAGTTGCTGGCATTCATTTCATGAGATATATTCTGCACCTCTCAGGTACAAAGTGCTCTCCAGCTGGAATAAGTGCATGGGACATTAAGCAGCCAAGGAAGAGCAGTGATGGCAAGTCAGTCCATATATAAGTGGATCTAAAAATTTGCAGTTGCTTAGGGGATGACACACCTCGAGAAACTGAACAGACCTAAAGGGGCTGAGAGACAGAAGCTGGATTTGACCGGTAAGAGAAGCACTGGAGTGGATTTCGTGCAGAGCCACCCAATGCGTGTTGCGCAAGGCACGGGGATAGCTCTGCTGCTCTCCCCTAGCAATGGCCCATGGGGCAGCCACCAGCCTGGGTGTGGCTTGAACAGCAGCATGGACATTAAGAGCAGCTTGACTGTTCCTCTGGGACTTCAGGGGTGGCTGCACTGCCAACAACTCCCACGGTGTGGCTGTTAGCCGGCCAGCCGCACAGGAACCCCAGGCAAGCGAAGGGGCACTCGGCACTGACCCCCCCTGGCCCGCAAGATCACTGGAGAAGGACCCTGCCCCCTGCAGGCTCGGTTATTCCTTCGGTGTCTTCTGGTGGCTGGAGGAAAGACCTTGTTGCAAGGGGGCTGCCGTGACCCCCAGGCTCAAGAGGAACAGGTCAGGTTTTGCTGGGCGTCACAGCCACCCTTGGGGGCACACAGTCCTTGGTTAGCACTGCAGCGGGGAAGCACATCAGACCGTAAGCATGGATGGGTCAGCTGGCCCCGGGTGCTCAAGAAATGAAATGGATGATTTAATTTATGGGTGGCTGAGAATTTCCTTCAATGCAGTCTCCCTGTGAATTCAGCAAAGCAGTGCTCCCCGTATTTGGGGTAAACGTTCAGACATGGGCTCAGCCCCCTGCGTATGCACTCCTGGCGCGGCGGAATGAGGGTTGCCAGGTCCCTGGGGGTAGGCCCTTCGTCTTTAGCAGCCGTGGGGCAGCCAGCCAGCTGTGGCCCTCCACCTTCTGAATTTGGCCGGGGCAGATGGGTGAGGGTTTTGCCACCGTTAATTTCTGACAAAAGTTTACTAATATTTGCGAAGCTGGCATGTTTGGGAAGAACTTGAGAAAGAGGAATCAACAGGTGAGCCAATCCCCAATTTTCACCAGCCTGGCCAGCTTAATGGGGTGCAGGCCATGGGGAAAGGCCCTACCCCAGCTCCTGTCCTGCGGGAGGGGGGGACAGCGGGAGGCCATGCCCAGGGCCCCATGACAGCAGCAGCACCGTGGGGAGGAGACGTACCGGTGGTCCCAGAGTGGTCCAGGCCCTGTGCCCCGGGCCGAGGGGTGAGAGGAAGGCTTATTGCAGTCCCCCAGCTTGTGCTGCTGAACTGCCTCTGCCCCCACCTCTCCTGCCCCTCTTCCAGAGCCCCAGCCCCTCCTTACCTGCCGGAGTGGGATTCCCATCCTGCCCAGCCAGCATGGCTCCTGCAGCCCAAACTTATGATGGGAATCGGGTTGCAGAAGACATTTCTCAGCCAGGGGCACCGGCACCTGGGTTTGTGCGAACAGAGGGGGTGGAAGGGCAAATAAAGCCGGCCAGCACGCCACATCTGGCACCCCCATCGCTAAAGACTCACCCGTGGTACTGTGTCAGCTCCTTCAGCACCTGTTGTACCATCAGCCTGTTGAAAGAAGAAATTACATCAGACGCTTTGGGAGACCCTGCAGGCAAGAACGGGGCCAGCGCTGGATGGCCCCACCCTGCCCCAGAAACTGTCCCAAGTCCTCAGACAAGGAGGCCCACACTTACTCTGGGGGGACAGGGTCCTTTCCTGGGATCTCCAGCACAGGCGGCACCGTTCCTGAAAGGCAAAACACCCCGAGTGGCAACTGGGACAGGGCTGACCCGCCACCCCCGGTGGGCCCGTCTCCCCCAGCAGGATGGTCTGCTTGTTGGTCAGGGAACTTGCTTGCCCAGCGAGAGGCGGGGCTGGCGATTGTGGCGCCTGGGCTTCATGATCCCGTGAGGAGGCCGATTCTTTTTCCTTCCCTGATGCTTTTGAGCATACAGGAGCTCCCCAAAACTACTTGGACAGTTTAGCTATGAGGTGTGTCTTCTCATGAAATGCACCCCCCCCCAGCTCCTCCTGCTTTCAGCCGAACTGTGCCGTCCCTTCAGGACCAGCTCTGCCCCCCACCCTGGTAATTCAGCCACTAAGCGTCGAGAAACGCACTCTTTCCCTAAGCCTCAGGCCTTTCTGGGCACTCCTGGGAGGGGAATCTTTCGCTGAGAGCAGCACCTGCCACAATGCTGGCACGACCTCCTCTTCCGCCACATGAGCCGCCGCTGGGTCTGGACCCATCAGCCTCAGCCATGCATCGATTGCGCTCCTCGGCTTCCCCACGGGCGAGATGATGGGACACAGACCTCGCAGGGCTCCGCTTGCGAGCGCAGAGGATACAGCCACCAACAAGAGCTACGCACCTACAGGGACAGGAAGCGAGACCTCCAGGCCAGGGGACTTCCAGGGGGAGCAGAAGCTGTCGCTGGGAGACGGAACAGATTTGGACCGTGGCCGCTTTCCGCCACCACCAAGCTCCTGCAAAGGGGAAGCTGTTGTCAGCACAGCCTTCCGCGGCCCTGGGGCATTCCCACTGAGAACGGGTGGCCGCCGGCACTGTTGGGGTGCCTCTCCCATCCGCCCTGGCTGAGGTGAGGGGTGGCAGGTGTTTGCCCCCGGGGGCCAATGCATCGCAGGCCATGCAGCCACCGGCTGGCTCCTCGCAGCGAGCGGTCGGCCGGAGGAATGATGTTCCAGCGGGCCGCCTCCTCCCATTCCCAGCGCACAGAAGCCGTGCCCTGCCGAGACTCGCCTCGTTGCCGGCCTCTGGCCCGAGGCCGAGGCCCATGGGCAAGGGCTCCAGCTCGGCTCCCACCCCCAGGGGGCCACTCCACATCTGGGGCAGAGGTGGCGGCGCATCCGCAGCGTGCTCTGCTTTTCCATCCTCCTGCTCTGTGTCACTCTCCAGTTCCGAGGCGTCCAGGCTGAGCCTGCGGGGTGAGAACGCTAGGTCAGAGACAAGCTGGGCTTTACAAGCTGGGGAGAAACTATTGTGTTATGGGCAGCTGCCGTTTGTCATTTTACTTTTTTGCAGTTAAATTGTTATCCTTCTCATGATAGGATGAGTCACTCTGAAAATTAATGCATTGAAAAAGGAAATGGGAAATGCTTAATTCAACTAACTTAAGTTTCTAGTCCACATGACTATGATAGTGTGTGGACAGTGACTGGCATTGCCTGAGAAATCCGAGAAGGGCGAGGGAGGTTGTGAAGACAATGGCAGATGGTCTCCTGCTATCAGCCGCCCTGTGGGAAGGAGCAGTATGGAGGGTTATATTTTAATATTGCTCACTTACACTTGTTGTAAGCAGCCAAAGATTTTGTGTCTTGGAAGGTGGCACTTAGAGAACCCCAAAGAACGTCACGCCATGGGGGGCCCCCACCCCTCCCACGACTCCGGCTCGCCGACATCTCGATTCTCTCCCCACGGAGAGCAGAGACAGCCCCAGAGTCCTCCCCACAGCCTGCCCCACTCGCCCTCCAGCAGAAGGCTGCGATTTTGGGGTGCGCGGGATGTGCAGGCCTTCTGCACATGCTCTGCTCTGGGCCTTCCTGCTTCCTGGCGGGGCCTCCGGGACACTCTGTGCCTGCTGGGCTTTGACAAAGAGCTGGCTGACAGAGATAATTTCCCCAGCACCTTATAAGGAGGATGGAGAATGGAGTTATAAATAGGGCCCCTCCTGGCCCAGCCGCAAAATCCGTATTGCCCTTGTGGGTTTGGCGATGGCGCAAAGAGAGCACCCACCTCTTGCGATCTTTATAGCTGCGGTTTTAACAAGTATGCCTCCTGCAGCCCCCCAGTTTCAAGGTGCAAACTGTGTTTTGATTCCCCGCCTTCTGGGGCAGGGGCTTGGGATGCGGCATGTGGATTTTAAGACGGCCCTCCTCCCCCTGCTGTGACAGGAGTTCTCCAAGCTCTCTCCTCCACTGGCCACCAGTGCCTTAATGGAGATCCGCGAGAGCGGTGGCGTCTAGGAAAGCAAAACGAGTTTTGCAAGACTGGAGCTTGCTAGAGCAAAGTCGGGCATCTTGCAAGGTAAGGCGAAGACAAGCCTCGCTGAGCGGGAGGACGTGGGCCTCGTTCTGCGACTGTCCCCACGTGCTCCGCATGTCAGTCCAGGCACGTCTGCTGGCTCTGGTCTGTCTCTCGCAGCCCGGTCTGGCTCGAACCCAGGCTGAGGCTCCGTCTATGGAAGCCACGGGAACACAAAGAGCAGGCTCACATGTAACCCTAAACCATGGTTTGATCGCAGCTGTCCCTGTAGTGCTGCATTCCAGGCATGCAGTGAGGCTCTATGTAACGAGGCGTTTTAGGAGTGTCTGGGCCACTTGGAGAGACGCACGGGGGCGCCCAGAGCACAAAAGAGGAAGCCGGCTCATCACAAAGCGTCCAAGAGAGCGGCTGTGCCCGCCCTGTCTTCTGGGCTGCCAGCTCTTCCACAAACACCACCAACAGGCAGGGCGTTCCGCAGAGAGGGAGCCACTGCAAAGGAGGCCCTGCGGATTCTCTTGGTGGTCCAGAGGCCTGGGAAAACCACTGGACGCCCCCAATGACACACATTCACACTTTTCAATCCTTGCAACAACCTGCCAGGTCGTCCGGAAGCATTTTTCCTGTCCAGCAGTTCAGCAAAGAGGGGAGCACGAATCCAGTGTTGTCTCAGACAACCTTGCAAGTTTGTGGCAGAGGCAAGATCTCCAACAGAGACCCTCCGCATGGAACCTCAGCCCAGAAGCCATCCCGAACCCCTGAGGGGAAGCTGTGTTGCAAGCATGCCCCCCGCCCTGGCCAGGTGGTCTCACCTGCGCTGCTTATCTGTTGGTGGCACGGGGATTTTCCAGCTGTACCACCGCGAGGTTGACGTGGACTGCACCAAACTCAGGAAGGGCTTCTCTGCTTCGGGCAACAGTCCGGGCTGTTCTTGGGCCAAGCCCCCTTGGCCCCCAGAGACGCAGGAGCAGGCACGGTCCCTGTCCAGGTAGTGGCATCCTGCTGCCTTGGGGCACGGCACAGAGGCGAGCACATCTTGGGATGTTGTGGGCCCGTCAAGCCCCAGGTCCTTGTAATACTCAGAGCCTTGGAGCTCAGCATCTATGGACAGCAGGTCCTCAGTGCTGCTGTAGGACACGCCTGGATCCGGAGAAGGAGAGGCATGCGCCTGCCAGAGAGCAGAGGGAAAGGCTGTCGCAGATCCGCTCACAACACACACCGCCCGATGCGGCGCAGCCTCTCGGTTTTGGTGACTGTGCCGGCAGGCCTGTGTGGGTCTCCCCAGGCTGCTGCCCTCCAGCGTGCCGGAGCACGACTCCCACGAGCCGCTCCTGGCTGGCCACATCCCCAGATCAGCCATGGAGTGAGAGGTTCCTCCAGGGAGGCCTGGGCGCGTCAGCCTCCCTCTCAGCCCCTCGGCGTCCACTCCCGGGGCAGCCAGACGAGCCCCCAGGGGCCCAGCAGCGCAGGCTTACCCTCTGCACCGCCATGCTGCCAAGGAAGACCTCATCCTCCGCGGTCAGTGGTGGTGACACGGCGTCTGGGCTGCCACAGCCCGAGGGGGGGCCAGCACGTGCCGCCGGCTTGCAGTCGGAACCTGGTGGAAGGAGCAGGCGGCCCGTGAGGGGCCCAGCCGACAGAGCCGGCAGCCTCCCCTGCCGGAAGGCGCCGGAAGGAGCCGCAGCGGAGCCCATGCCGGTGCTCCCTCCCTCAGCGGGGTCCGGCCGTACGAGCTGGGCCGCAGTGCCCCTCATCCGAGCTGAGGATGATGGTCGGGTGCTGCAGCCCCGTGCGCCTGGAGGCCCCCAAGTGGGGAAGGCTCCTCCAGGCGGGGCTGCACTGCGGCTCCTCCTGCTCGGCTGGTGCGGCTCGGCGGTGGCGCACTCGCTCAAAAGGCCAGCGTCGCATAGCCTCAGCGCCCACTGGGTGGTGGGCGGCGTTTCGCTTTGGCTGGGCATCCTTGACTGGGCCCTGGGATTCAGACTGAGCCTTCCTGGAGGGTTTCCCAAGGGAGCTGCCTCGAGATGCGGCTGCGTGACCAGGGCCTGAGGCCACCGGGCACAGAGCGCCTGCTCGGTTCATGCTGGGACTCGGTCACACCTTTGATGCAGGTCGGGTCGCGTGTGATGGACGCGAGGCCATCTGGGAATGGGCTTCTGCTGCGCACAGATGCGCCCTGGCACGTGTCTGGATCCTGGCCTGGGACACGGCACTGCCTGCTCCCCTGTCCCTCGGTCCTGCTCCTGACTGGTGTCCCGGGAGACCGGCTGCCCTTCGTGCCACCACACGCGGGACACTGGGAACTGCTTTTGCACTGCTGCACATGCGGGAAAACCCGAATGCGCGTAGGTTCGTGTTTCCCTGGAGTCACTCGGGTTCCCTACAGGCTAGCGGTTGGGTTGCACGGCCAAACAGAGACCATTCTGAGCCTGGGACGCTGACATGGGGCAGAGGGGCAGAGAGAATAGGGTGGCTGATGGATGTCGGAGCAGCTGCGACGGAGGACGGGTGGGAACTGCTTCAATCAAGCCATGCCCTGGCTCCCTTTGTGCCTCACCCCTGTGGCAAAGCCTGGCACACAGCTCCTTGCCACCCCAGGCCACGCCGCTGGTGGCACCCGGGCGCTGGAGCCCTGCTGGTCTTGCATCCTGAGTTGCCCCAGCCCCTCCAAAACCTCTGCATTCATGCACCCCGACCGGCGTGCTTCAGACACTCCAGCCTCAACACGTGATAAATCAGGCCCGTAAACTCTGGAACATGCTGTGCGCGCAGGAGAGGCTGCCGTGCCGAGAGGGGGAGCACCCCAGGCTGCAGGGAGACCATTTTAGGCAATGTGCAGGCCCTGTGGGGCGAGAACGCCCGCCTCACGCTCCCTTGCTGCTCTGGGCCGCCCGGGCAGCAGCAACATGCTTCCCGGTAGTACCATGGAGAGGGCAAACTGCACAGCACAAAGCACAGGCTGGAAGCCAGCGGTGCTTCCAGCCTGAGAGTCAAGCCCTTGAGCTCGGAAGGGATGGCAGAAACCATGGCAGGAAAGCTGCAAACAGGAGAAGGGCTGGCGAGGGGAGAGCCAAGAGCGAGCGAGGCACCGGGCGAGCCCAGCCGCTGCCTTGGCATCAGCACCAGGTGTCTCGGTTGTGCTGCCTTCCTCCCCTGGCCTCCAGCTCCGCTTCCTTGCACCTCAGAGCATCCGCTCGAGGGGCTGGGGCTTCCCAAGCTGACCCTCTCCTTTCTGCCCACAGGTGGCCTGACAGGTGGCCATGGGGGCTGGACTAACTTTTGCAAGCCTGCCCGGGGTCTCTTTCCTGGAAAGTGCGATGAAAAAGAAGGAGAGAGGAGGCGGATGAGGAGAGCGCAGCGGCGGCCTTGGCCTGTGACTGGTGGGCCGGCCGTTTCCCCCCTCCGTGCCTTCTGCCTTCAACAATGGCAGCCCGGTGGAGTAAGGACCGGGGCAGGAGCACGCAGCTGGCCAGTGAGTGGGCATTTCCCGACCCGAAGTCCTCCACATGTGCTGGACCACAACTCCCAGCATGCCGCAGCTGTCCCTTCCTCTCTGCCAGTGTCCAGGGGGCTTCTGGAACGGGGGCCAAGGAAATGTAGCATGATCCCTAGCCTGCCGGCCGGCCAGGTCTCCACTTCCCGAAAGCAGGGAGCCTTGCGAAAGGGCTGCCCCTGGGATCCACCTCTCCTCAAGAGACGCTCGAGGGCTTCTCTTTCCTGCCGCTCCGTGGCCGCACGGGTGCTTTTCCAGGGGGCTGCAGTGGGGCAGGCGGGTGAGGGCTCTGCCCCCCCTTGCTGCCAGTGCTACTCCCCTCCCACAAATCGCTGCAAGGTCATCAAGCTTTGAAACTTACTGGTTTCAGCTGATCTGAATCTGAGGAAAACTGATGAAAACATGGTTTTACTTTAGATAACATGGAACAAACGCAATCGACCAGTTGGCCACCCGTGAAATTTAAGTCAATTCACTATTTCCTAGTTTGAAAATCTAGCTCAGCACATGTGAACTTGCATGAGAATTCTGCCAGGCCGGCCCCTAACCGGCTAGGGGCCCAGCGAGGGCCCTGCCTTGGACAGTGCCCTGGGCGGGGCCGGGGCGTGGGACCCGCAACGCCTCTGTGGCCCCGTGCGGAGAGGGCCCCGGCCGGCAGCCCCTTCTTCCACGGATCCCTCTTGGACGTGAGGCCCTCCAAGGGCTCCCTGAGCGTCTGCCAGCTCTGCGGAGATTAAGCAGGTTCACACGCCCGACGGGAACCATAAAAGGTTAAAGCGGCAGGAGGCAGCCGTGTGCTGCGGGACCCGCGTGTGAAGTGGGTGGCGAGGGGGTCCCACGGCAGCTCCGGGAGGCGCGATTTGCAGGCCGGCGGAAGAGCAGCGGACCCCCCCCCCCTCAGCACAGGCGGTGCTGCTCCTCTGGGATGCCCGCTGGCACTCTCGGGCCAGGATCCGGCATAAGCGAGAGTGCCCACTGTGCCCCGCCACGCCACCACGGCCCCCGGCAGCAAGCGCCCCCCGCAGCCCACAAGCCCCGGAAGGACGGGGCAGGCGATGCTGCCAGCCCTGCAGCTCCCTCAAGGCGTGGGCCGAGGTGTCTGGGCCCTCGCAGGCGGGCCCCCAGCGCCGGCCCGGGGCCCCTGCCGCGTTACCTCTCTTGAAGGACCACCGCTTCATCCAGCGCCTGGAGAAGGATGGCCAGGAGTGGTTGAGGAGGGAGTCCGCCATGGCCTGGGCCGCCTGGGTGCCGAGAGGAGAGGAGAGGAGGAGGCGGCTCTGCTGGGGCTGCTGCCCGGAGAGGGAGTGGAGAGGCGGCGGGCAAGGCTTTGTCAAAGTCATGCGAGGGAAGGCAGCGGCGCCGGGCCTGCTCCAGCCACGCCACTGCCACCGCCTCCCCTCCCCGGAGAGCAGAAGGGCGCTTGGACCTGGCGAGGGGTTCGCTCGCAGGCATGCGATCACTCACTTCCTGCAGCGTTTAAAATAGCATCCGTCCTGGGGATTCAGTCCTGCGCCCCGGAGCACGGCCGAGGCGTGGAGAGTCTTCGGATAAATCCGGCCGGAGAGGGACGCCCCTCGTGCGGACACTTAGCCCTATTAAAACTAGCAGGGGGTGCTCACCAGCGTGTCCCCCAAATTCCTTAGCGGAGACTGGAAAGGTTTTCACGGGGTGCTCTTTGTGGGGAAGGAGTGCTCTGCGCACAAGCGGTCTCTGCTTCCGCCCCTGCGGCATCTCCAGTCAGCGGCGGCCACGCTGTGCTCAGTGGCCCGGCGCCGTGGCTTGGGTCACACGGCCGCTAGCCAGACCGTGGGCTGCATAAGCCGACTGGGAGTTGCATTCTGTGACGCCAGCTGCAGCGATGAGCCACGGCTGCTAGCCACGAACAGCCCAGGCAGACGGCCCGTGGCTCCCTGCTGGGTCGTGAATCGTGGTTGCTCGTGGTCGAGAAATCGTGGCTTATCGACACAGCTGGGCTCACACTGCACAACGGCTATGATTCAACAGCAACTAACAGCACTTGCGGCCACGCACAAACCAGGCCTGTGGGCAGAGGCCTCTTCCGTGACGGGATTCCGGGTGCCATGTTCCCCACTGAAAAGCACGGGCACCTCTGGACCCAGGACATTGTTCCGAAGCAACTCTGCTACAGGCCTGTCTGAAAAGGGGGTTTCTGGTTGATCCCTGTAGCGAAGGATGTGATAACTGCCATGCTGGTTCAGACTACTTGTCCGTCTAGTCCAGTGCTCTGGGCAAACCAGGAAACACAGAAACAGAGTGAGCCAGGAAGGGCCTCCCGGGCCATCTAGTCTGACCCCAGGAGGACCCCTGCAACAGGACGGGTGCTGGACCTCCCTGGCCCAAGAGGGGAGGCCTGCCACTCTGTTGAAGGAGGGAGGCTTGGTGGGCACCGTCTCGGCTGTGGCACGGCACCCGCCCAATGGCGGAAGACGAGTGCTTTCCGCCTGGAGCAGCTGTGGGCCAACTCTAGGCTTACTGGATCTTCTTAGTGTTTCACGGAACCTGAGGGGCAACATCTAGGCTAAGCTGCACTTTGATTCACTTCAGTAGGTCTCCTCTAAGGGGGGCTACTGTAAGACTTTATCCCAGTAGTTCACCAAATGTTGCCAGGTGGAAAATAGCAGCTTCGGAAACCACAGACGCATGGAACAGCAGTGCCTCTGGGCATGTACTGCACTCAGCGATTAATTTCTCGCATCAGGGCAGGAGCTTCCAGTCTACCTTGGAAACGGGGGGTGGGGGGTGAGTCTGGTTTTTCACCCTGTTGGGAATTGGAAACCCTTCTTGGCCGGCCCGAGTTCATGGCCTGCCTTTGGGGAAATTCCTGGATTTGGTGCCACAAACCGCGGCTGCACTTGGGCTTCGACTGGAAGGCACGGCTGGGGTGGGACACGAGGGCGGGGCCGCCGACGGGAAGGATGGGAAGCCGTGCCCTGCTCAGAGCGGCAGGGGCTCCGGGCCAAACTCCGGGCATGTTGTTGGCCCAGGGAGCCCCGGCAGCTCGGGACCAGCCGGCCCCCAGACCCTGGGCCGCGCTCAGATGGGGGCTGGCACCGCCTGTGGGCACGGCCCCAGGAGCGCCTGCGTGGAGCCGCTGGCACTTGGGCGCCTCCCCGGCACCCCGCTCTGCTGTGTTTCGGCACTTGTGGGCTTTGCCCACTGCTCCGATAACCTTGTGGGGAGCAGGCTATTAAGAATGGGGATTTATACTAGCAGTCATGGCAACAGCATCGTTAACGGGAACGAGGTGCATGAGGGAGGCGGGGTCTGGGCACCGCCGCCAGGTGTCTGCTGCCATGCCGTCGGCAGCACGAGGCCCCCTGGCCAGCGGGCCCTGACTGGGCTTCTCCGGGGGGCGAGCCTGGGGTGGGGCGGCTGCAAGCATGCACTTCCAGGCATATTGCAGGGGGCGGCTTGGGCATGTGCCCGACAAAGGGGCACCTTGCTGCTGGCACGGCCAGGGCACCGCCCCGGGGCCACAGCTCCTGGGCCCCGCACAAGCACAGATGGGCAGGGAAGGAAGCCACCGCCGGCGCCCCCCCCCCGCTGCAGGATGAGGGTCCTCCGAGCGGCCGAGGGTGCTTGTTGCAGGAGCTGCCAGTGCCCAACTCCGTGCCAAGCGCCTGTTTTAAAACACCGCTTATCTCCTGGCCCAGGAGACAAGGGCTGGCACCACCCTGGGCTGCTGGGGAAGCCAGCCAGGGTGCTGCTCGGGCGTCCGGCGGGCCTGGGCCAGGGCGGCCCTGTGGCACTGGGGCCACCGCCGGGGACGCCCCTCTGGGGACGTGCCTGGGCTCCAGGGAGGCAGCCGGCAGCCGGGAGGGGCGCTCCAGCGCTCCCTCCGCATGCTTTGTGCCACACTGCCCCCCTCTGGACGCATCTCCCCATCTGGGTCACTTCAGCTTTTTCTTGGCCGCCTTTCCCGGACTGAGCCCCCTAGGGGGTGTTCACCGACAGCGCTTCTGTGACCCACCTGCCAGAGACGGAGAGGGACCCCACGCCCTCCAGGCACCACCAGGCCACAGCTCCTCCATCCCAGGGCGTTGGCTGTGCCGTCTTAGAGCCGGTGGGAGCTGGGGGCACAGCATGGACAAATGCTGAAATGCGGGGCATCTTCCAAACCTGCCTTCTGGATTCTCAGTGCTCGTCCAAGGAGGTCCTGAAGTCCTGAACCAGAGCCCTTTCCTTGTGGAAATGGAAGGAAATGCTCACGGCCCCCGCTGCTGAAACAGCACACGGCAAGGTTCCTTCCCAGGGGACGATGGGCCCTCTACCGACATCTGCTCTGCGTGAGATCAGTCTTCACCGCCCTGGTGCTGGACTACAATTCCCAGCGTGCCCCAGCCAGCCGCGCTGCCGTGGTCCAACGCATAGGGGCCCCTGGCTGCCATGTCCGCTGCCTTGGGCTTAATGGCGCCTCGTCCAATTAAGCCGTGTCGGCACGCCTGGCAGCCAGCTCCTCCGCGCCAGGTGGTCCGCATCTCTCCTCCGGCCAGCTCCCCCGGCGGCGCTCCCGAGGGCACGATTTCCTCTTCGCAGGGCACAGCGGTGCCAAGACGTTGCGGATGGTGGCGCTGACAATGTTGCGCCAAGCCCTTTTCTTTCGACCCTCTGTGCAAGCTCATGGCGCGCAGCGATTTCATGGTCCCCAGCACCGCTTTTCAGGAGGGGTGGGAAGGTCAGGCAGGCGACGGGGTGCCGGTGCCGGGAAACCCCCCGGGGGCCCATTAGCTGTGACAGATGAGCCGCCGTGCTCCCGCGCCTGTCACAGGCCGCCATGGGCTGCATTTCCCTCCCTCCAAGCATTTCCTTTCCGCTCAACACCCTGCTGAAGGAATTCGCTTTGTTCTGCGACAGAATGCAGCCGAATACCTCCGAGCCCTTGGCCCTCTCCCTCTTGCCGCTTCCGCCAGGGCACTGGGACCGGCTGGACAGGATGGGCTCGCCTGTGCTCCAGCTCGCTCGCGGCCCAGACGCCGCCTCCGACCCAGGCTCCCCTTCCTCTCGGGGGCACCTTCCCTCCAGCGCACACACACCAGCCGGCCCGGTTTGCCATGCAGGAAGCACTTCTCCATGTCTGCCTCTCTGGAGGCTCTGCAAATGGCGTGCGGCCGTCACGTGACACAGCCGAGCGGGGAGGCAGCATGGCCCCCCTCGCCGGAGAGGCGGCCCCCGTCAGAGGCAGGCCTGGCAGCTGCCGAGCGCCCCGGTGCCGGGCCTTGGATGCACCCTAGGGCAGTTCGGGATGGCACGCGGGGCCTGCTGGCCTTTTCGGACGTGCCCGGGAGGGCGACAAAGCTCAGCGCTGCCCCAGGATTCAGAAAAGGCCGGGTGGGCGTTGCACGTGGGGTGGAACGCATAAGCCACCGTGCCCACGGCGCAAGGGGGCTGCTGCCAGGTGTTGGGCAAGTGGGGTGCTGCACAAGGCAGTGGCCACCCTGCCCCTCCGTTCTCGGGAGGCGAGGCTTTCGGCAGAGGACTGCGGCAGGCCGAGAGCTGCGGAAGCTCTAACCGGCCTGCCGGGAGCGTCTGAGCGCATGTCGAGAGCAGACGTGGTTCTCGGGAAGGGGCCTCTGCCTCTCCGGCTGCGCTTCCCTGTGTGTTCTCGGGGCTTTTCCCATGGCTAGAGAAGGACGAGAGCAAACAGCACAAAGAAAAGGCAGACATCCAGTCAGAGATACTCTAGGATAATTTATTAAGTTTTTTTTTACTTTTTTAATATAAACAGTTAATTGTTCAATATTTTACACACAGCAAGTTTCCACTTTATATTCAAAGATACTCTCTAAACACATCACTGCCTAGGATGTTATAAGAAAGCACTGAAAAAATAAATCAAGTGGGTACATTTCCTAATAAATTTTATTCAAAACCATGGCACATGTTGATCCATTACTGTAAAACAAGAGGTATTTCTGTGAAAAACTGTGTTCTGGGACCGCTGGCACACATGGGGAGCCGCCTAAGATGGGTGGTCCAAGGAGGATGGGCTGCCAAGACACTCCTAGCATGGCCAGGGGCTTCGCTCCATCTGGGGTGGGGTCAGAGGGGCCCTTGGCTGACCACCCACCTGCGTGCCCCATCCCTCCCCAAAGTCTTGTGGGGTGTTGCTACCCTCAAAAAAGAGGCACCAGCTCAAATGTCTCCACATAAAGATCAGTACCCATCTACCAAGTTCTGGCAATACGGCCAAGTTTGATGTTTTCTAACAATGCTTGCATGACGATTTTAAGATAACTGATCAGCCATTAAGCCCTCCTCCCACCTCGTCCTGCACAAATCAATGCAAGTGACTTAATTAACAGCAAAATGTGTGTGTGTGCTCACTTCTCAAGAGACTAAGAAGCACCTCCAAGCTTTTTATAAAATAAATGGGGGGGCACTCTGACACCTCCCTTTGAGGCAGATGCCAACTGCTGCGGGAAGGTCTGCTTCAGATGGAACGCGCTGCCCCGTTTCAGCCGGCGTGGTCGCGTGGCGGGGCTCTGGCGGAAACGCGAGCGAGTCCAAGAGCTGAAAACGTCGACCGGACTGAAATGCGCGTGCCAAGAAGGGCGCGGCCGCTAGCCTTGGTGACAGGCCTACCCCTAGCGTTGCTCGAAGAGAGAGAAGTCCAGGCACAGGATCGGTGCCGCAGCAGAGGAGACGCGGGGCCAAGCAGGAGGGTCTGCGTGTGTGTGCGATCCTTTATCTCTCGGGGATCTGCTACATCGGAAGCCTGCCTCGCCCTCCCGGACTCCAAGCACGAGGAGGTGTTAAGGCTGTGCGAAGAAGGGCGGGAGGAAAGGCGGCCCACAGCCCTCCGCGGGGGCGCGAGGTGCTCGGAAGGGGTCCTCCAGTGCAAGTCGCCCTGCCCAGAACCCCCATCCTCGGGCCCCTGCAGAGCAGAGGTTTCGGGTGTGCAGAGCCCCCTCGTGTTACAGTGAACGGCCATGTAGCACCTGGCAGTCCCCCGGAACGGCCCCGGCTCCCAGTGGCCGAGCCTGTGGGCACAGCTGGCTTGGGGCCTGCCCGCACCTGCCCCCTCAGCTCGCCCGCCTGGCCGCCCCCAGGGCTGCTGCTTCCGCCCCGCGACGTGGGCCGGGAGAGCTCCTCCTATATGCCATTCGCTGGGTGCGGTTTTTGCTCGTCTGAGCAGTGCCACGTCCCTCCGGACACGGGAAAGCGCCAAGCCTGCAGGGAGGACCCCGCTAGGAAGCGTGGAACTTCCACCGGCTGTTCCAGAAAGGACAGGCCGGGACAGGGCACCCTGAGCCCGGGGGCCGCGTCCGCTGAGCCTGGGCGGGACAAAACAGGCGTTCAGGTTCGCCAAGGGCTGTCTGGAAAGGCAAAAAGTGTGGAACGGGCCACGGGCGGCTCCCACCTCGCAGGAGGCCTTCTGAGCCCCCGGCCCATTCGGCTGCACAGCCGTCCCCTCGCCAAGCGCTGCGGAAGCGTGCCGGCCTCCTCCTGCCGCCCACCGTCACAGAAGGGGCTCCCGCGGGGTCCCTCTCGCTCCCGGGCCCTGGCACGCCTGCAGAGCGACTCCGTCCTGCCCGGCTCTCTCCAACCACTGCTTCAAAACCTCTGGACAAGGGAGCGCTTTCGTGGGCACCTCGGCGAGGTGTGGTCCCCCACGTCCTCCTGGCTCGCCCGATGCTCTCGCGTGCACACCTGCTCCGGGAGCGGAGCCGCCATGGGGCAGTGCCGGCGTTTTCTGAGCCACAACGCAGGCGCCTTGCCTGCCAAACAGGGACAACTTCCACGGCAGATCAATTCCCGGAGCCCTGTTCAAGGGTAGCCCTCCCAAATAAGGGACCTGCCTTCCTCCAAATTAAAAACTGGCCCCTCCCCATGCTAAAAATGCACCTTAATTCGGTTTCAGTGACGGAGAACTGACTACAGGAGGGGTGGTTCAGGACACACACTGAAAGAAATGCCTCGTGTCCTTTTTGTTCTACTTAAAATCCACTTAAAATTTTTTCCACAAGAAAAGAAGGTCCTTTTGATTTTCTTTTTGTAACAATGATTCACATTATATGGAAATAATTGTTAAGAGCTTATTTAGACAACAGAGAGACACGAAGAGATAAATAGTGAATCTAGAGGCCCATCTGTCAGCGAACAAGTGAATTATCTTACACTGAGGAGCACTTGAAATGCAGGCCCGGGCGCTGGAGAGGCGGACGAAGAGAACGGGGCCTGCTGCCCTGCACCCACGAAGGACGAAATGGCCAAGCCACAGAAAGCGACAGTGCACGATACGGCGAGCGAGGGGTCCGGGCGGCCGGCCTCGCTCGAAGAAGAAATCCAAGAAGGTGCGGGCACCGCTGCAGAGTGCGGGCCTTGTGGCAGCACACGGGCGGCCGGGGGGGCGGGCGGCACGCACGTGGCCACGTGTCCCTTTCGGCTGAAGCACAAACGGCGCGCTCACAGCACGGTCGCACTGCGGGGCTGGGCTGCCCAAGGGGTGGGCGGGCAAGGCCCGCGGCCCCCCTCGCTGCTCGATCCCGACGTCCTGAGCTAACAGTCTCTGAGCTTCGATGGCTTCAAAGGTGGGCAAGAGGAATCCACGAAGGTGCGGCCCGCCTGGGCTCACGAGAGCCTCGGTGGCCCCCAGCGCCCACGGCCGAGGGCCGGGCGGGAGAGGGCCACCGCGCTGGGCTCGCCTGGGGGCGGCAGCCCACGGCTGGGGCAGGGGTCCTTTACTGCCCCTTCCCCGTTCTGACGGCTCTGCTGCGTAGCTCCCGCACTCGCTTGTGCGAGGGAGACGGTGGGTGGCCGGCACAGGGAGGCAAAGCGGGGCGGCCACACGTGGCTCGAACCCTGCGTTTCTGGCGCCGTGGGCTCCCCTCCTCAGCAAGCCCGGGGAGGAAACGCGAGGGGCCGCCTGGGCCCGGGGGCCCCAGCAGCCGCGTGCTAACGGCAGAGGAGCCGCCGCTCGGTGGCTTCCCCGGTGGGACATCTCGTGGCCGATCAGCGCAGACACTGTCCAAAGGCACGTGCAGAAAGGCAGAGAGAAGGCGAGGGGCGGGAGGAGTGAAGTGGGGGCTGCCCCAGGGCAGGCAGGCCCCCGCAGCCCCTCCCGCTGCAAGAACCGCTGCTGGGGCCGTGGGCCTTGAGGTGGCTTCTTCAGCAGCCCGGCAGTTTCGTGCTTTGCACAAAGACGGGCTTTCAAAAAATAAAAGAGAAGCACCCCCCTCGTTATTTCAGGCTTGGCATTCTGGCTCCTGGGCGGTCACTTGCCAAAAGCAGCAGGGGCACTGGGGGCCCCTTCTAAGGCCAAACAGGCAAGGAAGGAAGGAAGGAAGGAAGGAAGGAAGGAAGGAAGGAAGGAAGGTAGGTTCATTAAAGGCATCAATAATTTAGAGGGAGTTCTACTATCTAAGATTTAAATATGGCACGACAAACCTATATACACTTAAACGCTAATCAGACAAACTCCCAGTCGGGTGGCAAGAGCAGAAGAGCGAGAGGGAGCAGAGAGGGGCAGGGGGCGGGTTGCTGGCTGTGCCTCCTCCACTCTGCACGTTCTCCCCAGATGTGCAATGTGACTGTTCTGCCCCCCCCCCCGCTCAGCTGGATGGGGGCACCCCCACAAAATTCCTCCTGCATAAAAACACACTGCCCAGAATCCCTTCGTGTGCCGGGGAAGCAGAGGGGGCGGTTGGAGGACCCCGTCCACCCCCTCAACTCTGTGGTTACATAAAGCTGTGTACAAAACGACGCGCCCTTTTCCCCGTGCATAATGCACTCACTCAGCTTCTCGCATGCACATTAACCCATTGAGAAGAGAAGCAGCAGCTGTTGGTCAAATCGGAGAAAGAAACGATCCGTGTTTGACGCATCTAGAAGATCCTTCAGCCTAAAAGCAAAATGAGGAGACCACCCTCGAGGGCGAGGCTGGCACAAGAGAAAGCTTTGGGGCCTCCCGGGGAAGCTGGTTCTACTTCACTGGGGGGCCTCCGCTCCCACAGCCCACGTCCCCGCAGCCAGGGGTGCCGGCTGGACGGCCGAAGCGGCTGGTGCAGCACCCCGGCGGGAAGCCCCTTCCTGCCTCCCAGCCAAGGCGGGCAAGCGGTGAGCAGCGGCTGCAGCGGTGGCCGCAGAACCCTTCGCGCGTGTTTCACAGAAGCAGCCTGCCAGCAGCACGTCAGCTCTTGCACTGAAACACAAAGGCAACAAACGGGAACACGCAAAGAAGACACCCTCCCCCCAGCCCCAAAGGTCCGTGCAATCTTCAGACGATTAAAACTGCGAACCGCGTGCCAAGTCCGTACGTCTCACTGGCTGCGTCGGCACACCTGCCAAGCCCTGAGATCGGCGGGGAGAGCGATGCCCGGGGAGGCTGGCTTAGGACGGGCTCGAACGTGGCACAGGCAGGATGCGCCCGTTCTTCTTGCCGCCATTCATGTGGGTGTAGGGGGCGTGATCCTCGTAATTCCCTTTCAGCCCCGCCACCGGCCGAGCGTCCCTCCCGAGCGCCGCGTCCCGCTGCAGGTAGGACGACGGGTCGAGTGGGATGCTCTCCATGTTCTCGAAGTCCAGCTCGAACTCCTCTGTCTCAGGGGGCTTGTTCTCCTCGCTGTAGAAAAAGGAGACCTCCTGGAAGGTGGGGTGGAGGTCGTCCTTCAGCATCTCGATGATCTCGATGAAGGTGGGCCGCATCTTGGGGTTGTACTGCCAGCACATCTGCATGAGGTCCAGGCTGCCGAGAGACACAGTCGCCCCCGGTCAGACCCGTGGAGCCAGGGGTGGGTGGCAGAGCCGGGGACGTGCCTGGCACTGTGGCACCACTCGCTGCCCAGCCCCCCCTCCGGCCACGAGCAGCCCGGCAGCAACCCCGCAGGAGGAGGAGTGGCCCAGGCCCCAGAGGGGCTGCACCACAGCCCCAGCACCTTTGCCACCAGCCAGCCAAGAACCCCCGGCATCTTGTCCCGGCGCCGGATGCTCATGGAGCCTGCTCAGGGAGACAAGCGTGGCGGGGAGGCGGACAGGAGGACGCTCCGGAACAGCCGCACCCTGCCAGAGGCAGGCCCCTGGCGACGTGGAGGGGTCTGCCCACCTGCTCCTTCCAGCCTTCTGCGGCAAGAGCGGAGCCCCGTGCGGGATACTTACAGCCTCTCAGCACAGTTTTCTGGCCGCTCGAGGCACCCTCCCTCCATGACAAACTTCAAGACCTGCTCGTTGGAGAGCCCCTGGTATGGCTGCTCGGCCAAGCTGCTGATCTCCCAGAGGACGACGCCGAAGGACCTGCGGGAGCAGGGCGAATGTGGACCAGGAGCCAAGAGGCCCCTGCTCTCCCCCACAGGGGGCCTCAGCTCTGCGCCCCGGAGCCGGGGGCCAGGGCCCACCGGTGCGGCCGAGCGCAGCAACCTGCAGTGGGGAGCGGCTGAGGCGAGACCGAGCGGCCACGCTGCCCTGCCCTGCCAAAACACTCCCGAGGGCACCGGCGGGGAGGCAGAGCTGGTGCTGAGCTGGTGCTGTCACTCACCAGACGTCCGAGTGGGCAGTGAAGACACCATCCTTGAGCGACTCTGGGGCCATCCACCGCACGGGCAGCAGGCCCTTCCCCCCCTTGCGGTAGTAGTCGGTCTCATAGATGTCCCTGGTCATGCCGAAGTCTGGAGGAGGAAGAGAGGGCTGCAGTGGCCGGGCCGGTCCGCCCCGGTGACCGGCAGACTGGACCACAGGGCCTGCCTGGGCCAGACCCCCGGAACCCGCCAGCTGCCTGGAAGCGATGCCTCGGAGCCGGCCAGGGGGGCCCGGCGGACTGGCCCTGGGGCTTCCGCAGCAGCGGCCCCACGACGGCCTACCTCCGATTTTGACTGTGAAGTCCTCGGCCACCATGCAGTTCCGGGCTGCCAGGTCGCGGTGGACAAACTTCTTGGCGTTCAGGTAAGCCATCCCGTCGGCGATTTCGGCAGCCATCTGGATCATCTCGTGGAGGGTCGGCGGTGGCCGGCCGGGGTTGTTCTGCAAAGCCCAGCCGGTGGCGTCACGGCCCTGATGGAGGGCTGGCGCACCCCCCCGCCCCATCCCGCCCCACCCCGGCCCGGAGTCTGCCCGAGCCCTCACCTCTGCATCTGGGCGCAAGGACCGGAGGTGGCTTTTCAGATCGCCGTGCGCCATCAGCTCCATGACAACCAGCGTGGGCTGCCCCTTGGACACCACCCCCAGGAGACGGACCTGACAGAGAGGCGGGCCGGGGAGAGAGCGGTCCCTGTGAAGGCTGCAGACACAGGCCCTGCGGCCCAGCCGTGGCTCCCCGAGAGCAAAAGGGAGGCACCGAAACACGGTCCGAGTGCCAGATCCGGGAGGAGAACCCAGGCCTACGCCGGTCTGCGCTCGCCCTCCGGCCCAGTCCTGGAGCAGCCCCTCAAGGCCGGGCACCGACGGCCCCTCCTCTGCCCCGCTGCCCCCGGGCTGGAGCGCTTCTGGGAGCCAAGCGAGGCTCTGGCAGGGAGGCCGTCTCCCGCCCCGCGGGCGCAGGAGGGCTGCCGGCGCCCCGGCGCGCCCCCCGCGTGGGGCAGGCCGCCCGCCTCCCCGCTCACCACGTGGTGGCAGCTGAAGCCCTTCATGACGGACGCCTCATTGAGGAACTCGATGCGCTCGCGCATGCTGGCCGACTCGTTCACCGTCTTGACTGCCACCCAGACCTCGGCCGCGCCCTTCACCAGGTCCTTGGCGATTCCCTCGTAGACCATCCCGAAGGAGCCCTGGCCCAGCTCCCGCAGCAGCGAGATCTTCTCCCGCGGCACCTCCCACTCGTCCGGGATGTACACTGCAGGAGGCGGGGAGAACGGGCACACACCCTCGGAGGGCCTCCACGGCTGCCTCGCGCCACCCTGCCTCCTCGTCCGTGGCCCTCCTGCCCCGGAGCCCTTCCCGGGCACTTCCCTGCCGGCACTTGGAGGGGCGCCCGCTTCGCCCGCGTCTCCTCGGAGGGCACGCGCCAAAGGGCCGGAGCGCCCCTTGTCACCGCGACGGGGATGAGCAGGGACCCCCCCCCCCACCCCCCCCCCCATGCTGCTAACGCCTCTGCCCAGGCTCGGAGGGCCGTAGCTCCCCCAGAGAGCCCCTCCCTCTGCGGTCTGCCCCCACCCCGCTGCCGATGATGCCAAGCGCCCAGGAAGCCTGTCCCCTTCTCCTGTCGCCATCGAGACTTGCCCCCTCCGGTTCTCGGCATCGGCAAGGCTTCTGTTGTCCGCCACCCCGAGACCCCAGATTCCTCCCTCTGAGCCTCTGGGTGCTAATCTTGCTGAACAGCAGATGCCCAGATTGAAAACTAAGCAGAGGTAAGCACTTCAGTGCGGATTCCCAGAAGATGTTTGCGTCCGTGCAGAGAAAGCAGCAGCTCGGGGGGGGTGGGGGCTGCTCTTTCACGCTTGCAGGTGTTCAGCAGACGGGGCCAGGAAATGTCTCCCAAAATGTTTGAGGCTCCTACCCGCAGGGAGCCAGAATAAGCTTTTGAAGGGGCCAGAAAGCCAGACCACGACCCCCCAAGTCGCTCAACCCGTCCCTAGAAATCCAGCCTGTCACTCACCATCACTGGCGCTGAGATACTCGGGGTTGGAGGACGCATAGAGTGGCCCGGTGGGTCCCTCCATTTGCCTGGAAAAGCGGGGGGGGGGACCGGTCACTGGACCAGCGGCACAGAGTAAGGCACAACCCACCATGGGCCTGGAATCCCAACACAAATTTGGGGGCAGGAAAGGGAGGTTTCCAAGCACAATTAAAAGTCTGCAAAGGCTTTGCTTTAAATAAACAAAAACAAAAACACCACAGGGGTTTCTGGTCCTCACAGAGCACTTAAGAAATGCCACTGGCAACTGGCCAGTCCTGGGGACGACCCCTGCGCGGCTCTCCAGGAAGGGGCAAGGAGCCTCCATGGCGCCAGTTCAGGGCGGCCAGGCTGCTTCCTGGAGCAGCCCATCGCGCACGACCCGCTGCAGGACGGGGCACCCACCTCTTCTTGATGAAGACGTAGGCTCCCCCGATGATGGCGATGAAGAAGACGGCGAAGATGATTGGGACGACAATACCCACGAGGCTGGTGGGGCCGTTCACTGGGGGCCGGAAGAGGAGGCATGTGAGGGCGGGAGGGGGACAAGCCGGCCTCCCGAGAGCCCCTTCCACGGACGGATACGCGCCAGAGGCGTTGGGCCACAGCTCCCGTGATCCCCAGCGAGCGGGGTCGTGGGTCCGTGCTCCTGTACCCCGAGGCCACCCTCTCGGGAAGGGCTGGGCCTCGGCCGCCTTCTGAGCGCCCGGCGCTTCTCCCGCCCGTGGGCCGGAGGCCACCCCCACTGCCGCCCCGCCGAAGAGCCGTCCCGCTCACCGTAGTCGGAGACGGAGAAATAGATGGGCTCCGTCCAGGAGCCGTTGCCGGCCAGGGACGTGGCCCGGACACGCACGCTGTGGTTGCCCGGCTGCAGCCCCCTCAGCTTGCAGCCCTGGTCGTTGCTGTAGTGCCGGCGGGACACGCAGTGGCGCTGCTCCTGTGGGCCGAGCCGTGCGGGTGAGCTCCCGGGGGCAGCCGGGCAGGGGGACGTGGGCGCTGCAGAGCGTGTGGCCGGGGCCCCCGCACAGCCGCCGCCTCCCCCGAGGTGCTCCGGGGAGCCAGCCAGAGGGCGAGGTGGGGGGGCTCACCTCCGGATCTCCCAGGCGCCCGTAGGTCACCTCGTACAGGATGATCAGCCCGTTCGGCTCCCGGGGCTCCTGCCAGCGCAGGTTGATGGTGCTTCTGTCCAGGAACTCGTACACCACGGGCCCCACGATGTCGTCCGCCTTGGCTGGTGGCAAGAGGCAGAGAGAGGAGTCACTCGGTGCGACGGGGCACGTGGCACTCGTGTGGAGGCACGGCCGGGCCCACCCTGGCCACGGTGCCCGCTCACCTTCGGGCATGGTCCTGGCGCTGACGTACGACGCAATGCTGCACTCCTTCGGGCCCTCGCCGTTACAGGCCTGGATCTCAATCCGGTAGCCCGTGAAGTGCCGCAAGTTGGAGATGACCACCGACTCCTTGAGGACCACCATCTCGAGCGGCTTCGGCTCCCCGGGGCTCTCGGGCACTGCTGTGGAGCCGTTCGCCAAGACCGGGCCGGCAGGGGACGCCACGGCGGAGCTGTTTGCCACGAGGCCGAGGTCCCTCCGCTTCCTGGTCGGCCTGCAGCGCGGCCCAAACGGAAGGAGTCAGGGGCCACTCAGGGCGCAGCGCATCCGCGAGCGCAGGAGGCCCCGTTCGGTCCCCGGCAGGCCCAGATGCAGGGCCGGGAAGGCTGCTCCCTGGCCTGGCCGTGGAAGGGGTGCCCTGCAGGCTCGAGCCGGGAGGAGGAGGGACCTGGGGCTAATTCCCAGCTCTGCTTCCTTGCAGCGAGAGAAGAGGCCAGACTGGCCTGGGAGCCGTCCTTTCGCTGAAGCCCAGCCACCAGGACAACCACCACACGGCAACCCGTCTGGGAGCAGGCTGGATATTCAGAGAGGGGGAACGAGCTGCAAGCCTCCGACTGGGCTGCCTTGACATTGTCCCGGATGTTTCTGGGCTTAAGGAAGTGGCGATGACCCTCCCGGATGGCTCTAAAAGGGGATGGGGCACAGGCACAAGGGAGGGTCTCTCTGTGGCTCCCTCCCCAGAGGCGGCACGCCTGCGCAGCCCAGTCGCCGAGGAGCTGGGCGGGGGGTCTTGCCCCCGTCCTGCTGGAGGGCGCTGCGGGCAGCGGGCTTCCAGCCCGTGTACGGGGTGCTGGGCCGGACACGCCCTGTGCCAAGGAGGGCCGAGGCCTGGCAGCCACAGTGGCTCTCAGTGAGTTCAGTTCTGCTCTTGTTTCTGAATGATGTCATTCCAACGCAGGGCTGGCTTTCCTAGTGGGCAGCCCCCTGGCATGCTGGACTCCCCCGGCACAAACCAGCAGGGCACCGGGGAGGGACACGCCCAGCGGGCCTCGGGGCGAAGCAGGCGTCCCCCGCTCTGCCCAGGATCTGCCCTCAGCCTGTTCCCCTGCGCGCCGGGCCGCAGGGAAGGGGGCGCGCTCCCACACCGTGCGGGCGGCAGGGAGCCCCCTACCTCGGGACAAAGACCACGTTGTGCAGGTAGTTCTCGAAGGTCTTCCGAAAGGCAGACTCTTCCTGCTCCTTCTGGATCTGGGAGTCCGTCTTGGGGCAGGAGCAGCACTCCCCGCCCACGTCCTCGCTCTCGCTGACGTTGTGCTTGTGCAGGTCCTCCTGCTCCAGGGGCGGGGACCACGTCCGGGAGGGCAGCTTCAAGCCTGCAGGACAAGCAGCACCGCAGAGGTTCTTCTGCAGCCCCGCAGCCCCGAGTCAATCGAAACACCGGGGCTGGTGGGGCAGAGGGCAGAGCCGTGCGGGGAAGCTATCGGGGCAGCCCTCACAGGCTTCGGTGCGGACCCTGGAAACAGCCCCCATGTCCATTGTGTTTCTGTCCTATCTCTGGTCTGTATTTTCGCGAAACTGTGGTGCGTGCCCCTTGGCCAGCGCAGGCATAAGCGCGTCATTGATAGCCAACTATTCTTCTTTGGGTTCTGCCGCTGAGGCGCATCCCCCACGCTTCCCGGGACGGCACCCCACCCATCCGCAGGCAGGGAGGACGGCCCCCCGCCCCCTGCCCGGCTGACCAGCGGCCTGGGGTCCCTCACCCTTGAGGCAGTAGTCCAGCTCGTAGAGCTCGCTGTCCTCCTTCTGCTGCTGCCAGGACACCAGGTAGTGCGTGATGTTTCCGTTGGGGTCCGAGGGGGGCTTCCACTTCAGGATGATCTGCGACGAGGAGTTGGAGACCGAAATGGGATCCTGGGGGGGCGTCGGCACTGTGGGGATGGAGAGCGCAGAGGGAGGAATCACTGGCGTGCTCAGAGGAGCGGGCCTGGCACAAGCGGGGGATCCTAAGGTGCCCCCGGCCTCTCACACTCAGCCCGCCAGCAGAGCACCCCCGAGCTCGGCCCACCGCCCTTGCGTGCCCGCCTCGCCGCTACCCGAGCCCCCTGCGAGCTGCCCGGCCGCCCCCGAGTCAGCCTGCAGGGCGGCAGAGAGGCCCGTGGGCCTACCCGAGGCGTTGGTCTGCACGTAGATGATCTCGCTCTTGGCCCCGTAGGTCTTGCGCTCGTCCGAGTAGGTGACCAGCGTCTTCACAAAGATGGCGTACTGGGTCCAGGCTTTCAGGCTGCGCAGGAGCCACCCCGGATGGGAGGCCGGCTTGCCGTCGGTCGGCCGGGGCGGCGGGTCGATGTCCACGACCGTCCAGCTGTTCGAGCCGCAGACGTCCTGGCCGTCGAACTCGGTCACGTTCCGAAAGGGCCTGGCCCGGGAGAGGCGAGGAAAGGGGGACCGTCATCCCAGGGGTGGGCGAGGCGCTCCCCGCCCTTTGGAAGGGGGAGCAGAGGGCGCCAGCGGCCCGGGTGGGAAGGGGCCCCGGCTGGTCACGCTGGCCCAGGAGCCTCCCTGGAGGAGAGGTGGCAGGCTCCTCCTGCAAAAATCGCCCGGCCTCTTGGGGCTGGCCGGGGGGTGCGGGGGGCGCTTGCCACTGGCCCTCGGGGACTCCTTCCTGCCCAGCCAGCTCTCCATGCAGAGCCATGAGGATGACTCTCCTGCCCACTGACTGCAGTCAGCCTCTTTGGGGAAATGGCCGCTGTCATGTTTGCTGGGCTTCTGTTAATCATTCATTTTTCAAAAATCCATCTTAATTTTCCTTTCAGGTATTTTTAAAATCGCCACTCTGATGAGATCAACCCCCGGGAACCTTACTCAGCACAAATGACAGGGGGACTGGAAAGACTAAGACTGATCCGGCCCCCGGCCCCTCTCCAGCCGCACCAGCCCCTCACTAGCAAGGCCTCGGAGTGCGCCCTCCCGCCGCACCCCACCGGGGCCCGCTACTCACGCTTCTTTGTAGAAGAGCATGAAGCCCAGGAGGTCACGGAAGTCCTGTGGCCAGTATGGCTCCCACTTCAGCACGATCTTGTCGGGGGCCGTTTTGATGTAGGAGAACTTGAGCACCTCGTTCTCGCCTGCGGGGAGGCAGGGGCCGCGTCAGGGCCAGCGCCCGTGCACGCGAGGCCGGCCGTGGGGAAGCCGGGGAGGGCTGGGCCTGTGGAAGCAGGTCCACCGGCCTGCGGGGGCTGCCAAAGGGGCAGCCGGGTGGGGAGGGCCAGCGCTCTGCGTGCGGGGAGGGGGGCTTGCGTGCAGGGCAGGCCAGAAGCCGGTGGGCACGCGAGCAGCAGCGAGAAGAACAGGCGGGCTGGAGCGGGGAGCTGCCCTGGGCAGGCTGCGATCCTGACAGCGGGGGGGGCGGGGTGGTCTTTTTTGGCAGGGGAGGAACACCGCAGCAGCAGGGGCTCCAGGGATGTGCCCCCACCCATGGAAGCGACCTCCAGACGCAGGGGGAGGCGAGGGCTCTCCCGCACGCAGGGACCACGTGCACCCCCTGAGCAGAGGCCGAGGTGAGTCCCCCACACCCCATCACCAGGCAGAGGTTCGGGGGGGGGGGCTTGCCGTGCCACAGCTGGTCCACAACGCACACGTAGAAGGCCAGACTTGAAAATGCACAATTAGCGCCCCCCCACTGTGGAAGAAACCGGGGCAGGTCGCAGCCGGGGCCCCCGGGCAGCGCCCAGGTCTTGGGGTGCAGAAGCCCCCAGCCGCGCGTACGAGGGGGCACCCGGCAGTTCCCCACGCCGGGGCGGCCCCCACCGGACGGAGAGCCCCCTCCACCTGCGCGCTCCACCCCCGGGGTCGTGGAGTCCCCCTCTTGCCGGACAGCCTTTCGGGAGCCTTTTCCGCACCCGCAGGAGGAGTTTCTCCTGCCACCACACCCCGGGGCTCCCTCCGCTTACACGAGGCCTGGTCGCCGTTGGTCTTGAGGGCGATGTCGTTCTTCTCCTGGCGGCCCCTCGTCCCCGAAATCTCCTCCAGCTTGTGGATCTCCGAGAGGCACAGCTTGGGGTTGTAGTGGAAAAAGAGCTTCCCCCGGGAGATGCTGAGGTTGTGTTTGCTCCAGTCCCAGAGCTGGCGCAGGTTCTGGTTGTCCAGGGCGTAGAAGGAGTAGTTCCTGGCCATGGGGGGCGGGGGCTGGGGGTCAGGAGGGGCTCCACATCTCGGGAAGCGGAAGCCACCCCACCTCTGCCCCCCAGTCTGACGGGGCCCTCCCCGCCCGGCCCGGCCCGGCCCGGCGAAGCCGCCCCTGGGAGCAGCCCTGGGCGGGCAGTGGGGCTCCTGCCCGGTTGGGCCCCAGAGCAGGCCGCCACAGGCCCCCACAGGCCCCAGACACCTCCCAAAGAGCAGCGCTCACCCCGCTTCCAGCACCTCCCCTCGGATCAAGCGCAGCTTGCGGAAGAAGGACAGGGAGACCAGGGCGTAGGAGCGGCGGATCTTCAAGAAGCCGGTGATCTCTTCGATCAGACCCAGGTTGGCCTCCAGCTCAGCAGCAATGTTGTCTGAAGGGGGTGGAGGGAGGCATACGGAAGGTCAGGGAGGCAGTGGTGGGGGGGTCAGAACAGGGCCCCCCTTAGGATCTGGCCCAGAGAGGAGCTGGGCGTCCCACGGTCCAAGCGAAGGGACACTTGCAACCCTTCTGGAATGGCGGAGCACAGCCCCTGCCGGGGCTGCCCTTGGGGGCCCAGGAGGCCCCCCGCCCCCACGCCCCTCGTCCCGCCCCCTGGGCCTCTGGTCACACAGCTGCAACCACCTCCGGGCTGCATGGGCCTCATTTGTTGTAAGCCGCCCTGAGGCTTCGGCGAATGGAGCGGCATAAAAATGTTTTAATAACAACAACAACAACAACAACAACTCACTTCCTCCACGGATGTTGATAATCAGGCTCCCGTTCACCACTGTGCACCCCCGGAGGTCCTGCATGGCCGTCACGGACTCGATGACCTTCTCCTTGCCCAAGTCGCACACCTTCGGGCACAGCCCCGCGCAGGGGGCGCACAGGAGGCTGCAAGAGAAAGCCGGGGTGGGGGTGAGGCGGCCCGCAAGCCCTGCGGCAGAGGACGGGGCTCCCTTGCCCAGCAGCGACTCGGGGGCCCCCGAACCTCCGTGGCCGCCGCCTTTCCCAGCCGGCCTCCTCCACACCCGTCCGCTCGGCCGCCCGTCTCCATTCTGCCCCAGCGACGGGGCAGGCAGGGGAGGGACCGCTTCGGACGAGGGGCAGAGGAGCCAGCACTGAGATCCGTGCGGCAGTGCCAGGCCTTTCACCGCGTGCGAACCGCTCGGCCGGTGCCTGTTTGAGCAGATCGCCTCGCATTAAAATCACGGGCAGGGCAGAAGCCACTTGGCCAGGCCGGTGTGGAAGTGCCCTACGGACCGCGCCTGGGAGCCCCCGCCGGCCTTAACGAGGACGCAGTGAGCCCACGCGTGTCCCCGTCCGGCCATCCCGCACTGCCGCAGGGGTGCTGGGCCACTCCTGCGGCCCCGCGCCGGCCTGGCCCCTTCTGCCCGGATCAAGAACCGCTCTGTGGGAAGCCACACTGGATTGTCTGAACCTTCCACCGCTCCTGGCCTCTCAGTTTCCACTACATTCTCCGCACATGTCAGAGGTCCGCCCCAAATGAAATGACTATTTTATACATGCTGGCCACCCTCCGAAGAGTCGGCCTTTTCCAAGCATTAACCGCTTTCTCCCAGTGGATGGGGCTCCTCGAATGGGCTGGGAGCTCCCTCTAGCGCCCAGCACAGCTTTGCCGGAAGTCCTTGCAAAGCAGGATCCCAGAACAGCAGAGCTGGAGGCCACGGGGTCCAAGTGCCCTCATGACTGAGAGGTTTTACACGCTCCTACTGTGCCCAGAAACACGGTTTTGGGAAGGGCCAACCACACTCGGGATCTGCCCTGCCTTCCTTCTGAGGTTTCCTTTAAAAGCTGCCGGGCCATCGATTCTGAGTTGTGCTCTGGCACACGCAGAACGTTACCCAGGTTTCTGTGCTGTCGGGAAGCGGTGCAAAGGTACGCGGCTCGACCCTGGACTCCAGCGTAAAGGGTTGCCGTCAACTGGAGTCAAGTGGGGGAGCCCCTGCCAAGGCCCGTGTTCCCCTCTGGGGACTCTTGGGGACGGGGGGCTTGCCCCCTTCCCCTTCTGTTCTGGCCAGCCGGCTCCTCCTTGCGCTCCCCCTCCTCTCCCCTTTCCTTCCTGCCCAGCTACAAACTGGCTGCGAGGGGAAGGGGCGTGCGGTCCGCCCGGGGGCTGCGCGGGGGCCCCCTTCCCTGCCCGGTGCCTGGCGTGCCGACCGGCCCCGGAGGGCACCAGCGCCGCGCTGGCTTGGCCCAGCCGGGGTGCCGGGGCGGAGCGACTCACTTGCTGGAGTTCATGGCGTAGCCGGAGGGGCAGCCCGCGACGCACTCGCCGCCGAAGATGGCGTGGCAGTGGGTGTCCCGGGCCGTCCGGCACTTGTTGTGCAGCTCCTGGCAGAAGTCGAAGGTCACGCAGCGCCAGCCCTTGAAGCGCAGGTAGCCGGGGGGGCACGTCTCCAGGCACCGGCCGTCCAGCATGTAGTTGCGGCACGCCACGCACTTCCCGGCGTCGTCGGGCTCCAGGCAGCTGCCCAGGCACTCCGGGTGGCAGCACTCGCCGGTGGGGGTGCAGCCCTGCGACTTGCACGGCGGGGGGCACACTGGGGGCAGAGGGGGAGGCGGCGTGAGCCCTCGTCCCACAGGCCCTGCCAGTTCTCTCCCTCCCAGGGTGCCTCCCGCAGGGCTCCGGGGGCGCAACAGCCCTGCGGCCTTCACCAGAGGCCGGGGCCCGGCAAGGCCTCCTTGCACTGCCCCCCCGCCCCCGCTTGGCCACTGAGGCTCCTGCCTTGCTCCTTGATGTGGAAAATGCAGCGGGGGGGGGGGGAGTGGAGCCTCTCCCTCCCCATCCGACAGGCACCTTCCCCCCTGCCCTCTCCAGGGGCACACCGAGGGCCCGGCCACTGTGCTTGCGCAGGAGGGAGGGCCGGTGGGGGCCCCGGCTGCCTTTCCAACCCAAATTAGCATTTGAAAATGGCTCTGGGTGACCTCTTGGGCGTGTGCCCCGCAGGGTCACCGACTCCACTGAGAGCCACCGGGGGAGAGAAGGTCACCTTGACCAAACTCATTCCTCCACCAGTCTCCCACTTCCTCTTGGGGCCGTAACTCACACAGGAGGGAGGTTTCCAAGCAGGCCTCCAGTAACCGGCCAGAGGGCTGCCAGGGGTGCGCTTCCGGGTGGAGGGCTCTCCAGGTGGCGCCCAGAAGCCAGGATAGCACTGCTCCGGCCGGGTGAGCCTGCGGCAGGTGGCGGGGCGCTCCTGCCACCGTGCCTGGGGCCGAAGCCGTCACGCCTGTACCAAGACGTGTCCCCCCGACCCCACAATCCCAGGCAAAGCCGCCCAGCTTGCTGTTCTGCGCTCGCTTCCCTTCCCTTCCAGGAGACCTGGCCAGCTGCCTGGCCAGGTCCCCCGCTCGCCTTCTGGCCGGCGGTGCTGGCTCCGGAGGGGCACACGGGGAGCAGCTGGGCTGCCCCACCTACACCTTTTCTGCGGAAAGGTGCCTCAGCTCAGGGGGCCGGGCCCGGGGCACAGGGTCATGTGTGCTAAGAGTACTTCTTTGCCCCAAGGAAGAACCGGGCCTGGCCTGAAGCTGTGCTCCAGCACGGGGAAGACTTGGGGGCTGCGCCCCGGCAGTGGCAGAGGGACTGTGCCCTCGGTACGCTTCGTGAGCTCGGTTTGTGCGGTGGCAGGTAGCTGGACACCCCGGGGTGCCAACCACACCCTAACAAGACCACGGAAAGGGGTTTCTCTCTGATTCTGCCCCATTGCCACCCCTCCCCAGCAAAGGCCCCCCAGCACGAGAGCAGCAGCTGGTTCGGTGCAACGACGTCGGCGGAACGGCTGCCTCCCAGTGCCCAGTCTGCAGAGTGTTCCCCGGAGGCAGGACGCCCCGCAGACACAGCGAAGGAGAGAGCAGAGGAGCGCCGAGAAGGATCCCCCTGCTCTCCAGATAATTTGAGGATTTGCCAGTTCCTGCTAAAGAGCTCAGAGAGTCACTCCGAGGATGTGAAAAAGACAAGGGGAAGCCCACAAGCGATCAGGATGCCAGAGCAGCCCAAAAGAATGTGCTCGCGCGAGCGCTGGGTCCACAGCAACGCAAGCCACAACCCAAGCCTGGAAAACAACGTGCCGGAGTCCAGGGGGCTCATTTTCCAGGAACGCGGCAGCGGTCTCGTCCGCTCCCTGCGCCAGGACGGAGGCCTGGAGAGAGCCTGGCCTGGGGGAAGGTCCCCCCGGGCACCAAAGCCCCAGGCAGCCACGAAGGGGCACCTGCGGCCTAAGAGGGCCACGCGGGCCGCCCCACGGAGGGGCCCCCACGTGCGGCTCCAAGCAGGTCTCTGCCACGGGGTCATGCGGGGACCGCAAAGGGGAAGGCCGGGGCCAGGGCCTGACATCCTGGCCGCTCTCGCGGGCAAGAGCCACCCGCTTTCCTGTCTCCGGCACCTGCGCACGGCTCTCGCGTGAGCCTGGCACACGGATGAGGCTTTTCACATGTCAGTGCCGTGTGTGCTTGGAAAAATCGGAGGGCCATCTCCCAGGGAAAGGCGAGGACCCACGGCCAGCTCGCCGTGGCGGGAGTGGCAGACCCGTGGCGGGCCGTGGGGCCTCGCACGAAGCGGCAACGAGTGCGAAGCAGATCGCGCAAATTAAGGGGCCCCCTTGGGGAGGGAGGTCCCCAAGTGCCACGGCAGCTCACAGGGAGGTACTGGGGCTGCCCGCCAGAAGGGGGAAGGAGCCTGAGGTGGGGCTGGAGGATGCCCCCCAGCCCTCCTGAATGGGGGCCACCTCACCTGATGCCCAGGGGCCCCTGGCTGAGGGGCTGGTGGTCCTTCCCCAAACAGGCTGGCCGGGGCGGCCAGACCTGCTGCGTGACGCCACGGATCTGCCACTCCTGCCACGGCCCTGTCCGGGGCCGGGAAGCCCTCAGCAGGCTGCTCTCCCTGCCAGCAGGGGGCCAAGAGGCTGCTCCGGGGGGCTCTCAGATCTGAGGACACACGGGGCTCCCCCCACGCAGCCTGCTCTGCCAGGGAGGGGGAAGCGGCCTTCTCCCTGGGGCACAATGGTCTCGCCCTCCCTCCCTCTTCTCCAAGCCCCCAGTGGCCCTCGGGAGTGGGGTCAAGGAGCCCGGGGCCCCGCCGTGTGGATGGGGCTTCCCTGGGGGCCAGGTAAGGTCGCGTGACAGGGGCCCCTGCCCGCCTCGTGCCGCCCCTGCTCCAGAGCACCCCTGCAGCTTCCCTCCCCCGCCAGGTGCCACGCGCAAGAAAGGCCGGTGGGCGGGCGCATGTGGGGAGCAGGGTGGTAGCCCCGAAAGATGCGTGCCGTGCCGAGCCAGGGACAGGGAGTTCTTTGAACACTGCAGGGGCCTGCAGAAGGGCCCGAGCCCCATGAAGCCCCAGGGCGGGTGCCTGAAATGGCGCAGCCTTGGTTTGTGGGTGCTCAAGCGGACCCCCAAGGCCGCAGGGGGGCGGAAGGGTGGAGGGGGCTCGGCAGGGGATGCGGGCTCTGCTGCCTCAAGGAGCCCTTAATGGCAACGCAGAGACACCCTTCCGGGCAGGACAGGACGAGCTTTCCAGCCGCGGAGGAGGGGCCCCGGCCAGGCAGGGGAGGAGAGAGCCCGGAGTGGACGCTGGGAGGGCACAGGACGGCTCCCGATCCCGAGAATCCCAGGTCAGGAAATGCTTCCGACCGGAGAACCACCCTCGGCCTCAGCCAATGCCTCCACTGCCTGCACTCGGGAGTCATTCAACATATTTTTATATCTTTGCATAAAGCAAACAGACACTTAACCCCTTCCGTGCCGGGGCCTCCCGTGGTGGGCAGGCAGCTAATAAAATCCTCCCGAGAGGAGATTCCAACTTTTGAAATGTCTACACTGGGGGAGTTTAAAGCCACGTTGCAACCACGACTGCAAAGGATCTGGCGGCACGGCACGGCTTCCCTCCTGCCACCCTCCCCGGGACTCGGCCTAACTGCAGACCTCACTTTGGCCTAGATCCAGAGGGGTAAAGACCGAGGCACCGGGACTCTCCTGGTCAAGAAACCACCGCAGGGGAGCCGTGTGCCTGAAGGCCTTCCTCTGATCTGGATGACAACTCCCATCGCCCCCAGCCAGTTCGCTCAAAGCCCACACACCACCCTCTAACATAGTCAAGTCACATTTGCAGTGGAAGCCCTCCAGTGAAGCTTTATTTTATCTTTCATTTTAAAGCATTTCCATGCCGACTCCGTCCTCATAGGGACTCCTGGGGTGGCCTGCATGCGCCAGCAAAGCAAGACCGCCCTGCCCCTTCAAACCTGTGATCTGAAGACACAGCACGCAAGGGGAAAGGACAGGGAGGGCAAAAAAAAAAAAAAAGACCCAGGACACCCGCTTGGCACTCCCTTGCCTCCAGGCATCCCAGCCCCCCCCACCCCGCACCACAAAGGACAGGCAGGCAATGAGCTTGGTCACGGAGGGGGGGCCCTTGTTGGGTCCCCATCCAGCAAGATCTCCAAGCCCAGGTGATGTATCCAGAGAACGCCAGCCGCTCTCCTGCAGCTGACCGAGCTCCTCACGGCCGTTGATCCACAGCCCGCTGCATTTGGCCTTCCCCAAATCTCTTGCTGCAACAGCCCGTGTGCCCCGCATCCTAGCTGCGCACCTGCCCAGCCTGAGCACTGGGTCCTGGGAGTGGGGCCGCATGGGCGGGCGGGCGGGGGCCGAACGGAGGTGCGTGCAGGTAGCGGCAGGGAGGCTTCCAGGAGCCTTGCGCTCCAGCCCAGCGGCACCAGGCAGGGCCGGCGCTAGACCGCGGCACACACTCGGAACGGGGCAGCGTGTTCGGACTACTCCAGGGCCGCAAACCAGCGCCTGCAAGAGGGTGTAGAAAGGTGAGGGGGCGAAAGACGGCTGCTCCAGAGGCTCTGCACAGCCCCCATCGCAAGCGGGGAACCAGCGTGGCTGCTTGCACAACCCGACTGGAACCGCTGTCACATGCATGCCAATCTGCCCCTAGGGAGGGGGAAGGAGAGAGGGCACTCGTGCCGAGACGCACAGCGGGCACCTCCAGGGGAAGGGTCCTCGCGGTCTGAGGCCCGCCCTTCTCTGCCTCGTGAGGCACGGCAGCTGCGTCACGGGAGTCCTTGGTGTAACAGGGCCGCAACCTGCCCTAGGACACAGCAGGAGATGTTTCTCAAGGGGCGTCGAACCCAGAAGAAGGAAGAATCCGGGCAGCCAGCAGCCTGGCCCCCTTCACTGCCGCTGCTCCCCACAGTCACTGACGAATGGGAAGGGGGGGTCACCATCCATGCGCCGCTCAGAGAGGTTCTGAGTCCAGCCACAGGCCTGCATACAGCTTTTCGCATGTTAGCCCCATCCGGCTGCAGAGCACAAGAAAGCCAGGAATCCAGCCCGGCAAGTGTCCTCCAGCGAGGCAGGCCAGTGCGCCTGCGGCACGAAGAAGACAGAGACCCCGACTGCAGCAGAAGCGTCTGTGCCCGAGCGCAACGCATTCATCTCGGCCCGAAGTCAGCACATGCACGTGTGCACATGGACTGGGAAACCGCACGGGCTGCAGATTTTATGCAGGGGTCTCCTGGAGTCCACAAAGACCTGCAGCCAC